GATCCCCCATCTCTGCTTTATTTATACTGCAGAAAATAATGGCATTCTCTTTCATCTTTCCATATAAAATAGCCATAATGGATATAATTATAACAACTATATCATTTCCTTGAGTTTTAAGCCTGCTGTACACCAGGACTGCCACAGAAGGGGTTGAGACGTGATTCCATTTTCAAAGCAAGCTTTTGGGTAGAGTACTTTGGTTGGGAAAGCACACAGATTTCTTAAAAGTGTGGTATTAGGTGGCGTACTTTACAAGGCTGCTTATATCCTGTCTTGTATTTATCATGTTATGTTTTGGGCTCTTGTTTTGGCGAGAAAAGCAGTGTACTTTTTATGTTAGTAAGAAAGTCTAAAATTATCCCACGGACAAGGGAAGATACTTCTATGATTCAAGCTGTGTTCCTGGACATACGTGGGAATTTGGTACCACTAAATTCAAAGGGGGCTTACTTCCTAGTAGGCCTGCATAAGATCATACGGTCAGGGTCACTGTCGTCTTGACTAAACAACCTTCAAAAGAACATAAGAGCCTGCTAGATCAGGCCAAAGGCATCCTCTTCTCTCAGTGGCCAACCGTATCCCAATGGGAAGCCTGGTAACACAACCCGAACACAAGATCCCTCTCCCCTCCTGCAATTTCCAGCAACTGGTATTCAGAAGCATTACTGCCTCCAACCACGGAGGCAGAGCATAGCCATCACAGCTAGTAGCCACTGATAGCCTTTTCTTCCAAAAACTCATCCAATCCTCTTTTAAAGCCATCCAAGTGGGTGGCTGTCGCTGCCACCTGTGGGAGCAAGTTCCATAGTTTCAACTCTGCGCTGCGTGAACAAGTCCTTTCTTTTATCTGAATCTTCCAACATTCAGGTTCATTGGATGTCTGCGAATTATAGTGTTACATGAGAGGGAGAAATACTGTTCTCTAGCCATTCTCTCCGTGCCCTGGGTCATTTTGTGAACTTCTGTCATGTCACCTTATCGCTAATGCTGCTGCTGCTGCTGCCACTACCTCGTCCTGCTTGGGAACGAAGCTCCCCTGCTGGCTGTTCCTTTCCACAAGATGTGGTATAAGCAGCAACAGCACCTCCACGCAGCAGCCAGCCCAAGTGGCTCTGACCTTCAATGTACTGCTGCATACAGGCCCCTGTGTGTCAAAAAAAGCTACCTCAAATTGTGCCTACATTGCTCTGGGCCAGCATCAAAGAAGAAGCTTGAAGTCTCCCCAGAGTGCTTCTGAAATGAAGAGCCTGGTAACAAACTCCCTCTGCTGGTCTGCAACCTGCAGACAAAAGCTGCTCCGGTAGGGAGCTGCTGGACTGGAATTCAGAAGCAAGATCTTGAAACTGGTATTTGGCCTCCCAAGACCCTACGAATCTCCAGTGTGCAGCAGAAAGAAATTCAGGAAGAGCACCTGCCTTGCATGCAGAAGGCCCCAGGTTCAATTCCCAGCATCTCCATTTATGGCTGAGAAAATTCTAGGGAGCAGCTGCCAGTCAGTGCGGACAATACTGAGCTAGATGGAACAATAGTCTGTCTTGGTATATGACAACTTCCAATGACAGGAGAAGCAGGGGTAGAGCATCTGCTTTGCTTGCAGAAGATTCCTGATTCAATCCCTGGCATCTCCATGCAGAGCTGGGAGAGATCCCTGGCTGAAACCCTGGAGAGCCACTGCTAGTCAGTGCAGATAAAACTGCATTAGATGGATCAATGATCTGACTCTGAATAAAGCAGCTTTCTATGGTCGCTTTACAGCTTCTGCTACACCACCGATCTTGTTATTCCTATTCATCACCAACGGATGCAAGTCAGGAGTGGGTCACGCCCACACCGATTGGACCTTGTACTCCTCTGATTAGATTCTGTATTCATTTGTGTGCTACACAGTGCAGAAGTGTGTCTGGCATCTTTATTATACAGTTTTTGGTGAATGCTGAAGACGTGTTGCTTCATCTTGGCTTTTGGCACTTGGGGTGTACATATTTAAGACCCTGTTAGTTCTATTTTAATCACCTTCCTTCTGGCGACTGTAAGTTGTTCTAAGCCATTTCTAACACTGGCTTTTATGTTGTTGTCACCCACCCTAGGACCTTAGGGAGAAGGGTGGGTGATAAATTATAACAACCACAGTAATAATTGACACACCTACTAACACCATCAACCCCCAAGATCATGATCAATCCTGCAAAGACGAAGACAGAAGGATGGAGAAAGCACTTGGCCCTTGAATGTCCATAAATCAAAACCCACCAGGAAAAAAAAATCTAAAACGTCATCTAGTCCAACTCCCCCACAGAGGCAGGCACTCTGCTGGCTGTTCAGTCTCTAGTTAAACACATCAAATGAAGGAGAAGCCACTATCTTTTAAAGCAGTCTCTTCCATTGTCAAACAGCTCATACCATCAGGAAAATTGTGCATAAATATACTTGGGAGCACTCTTTATTCTCCTAATTATTCCAGGGAGAAATGTTCCACTTCTAATTGAGCCATTAACCTTCTGGTTTTCTGCTGAAAATCATTAATGGCCAATTTGCAGACCTTCGTTCTTATACCCTGAACCATCTTTAACCTATTTCACTTCTTCCAAATACTGTACGTGCTTGAAGCCTAAGAAAGAGGTGGGATCAGGAGTGGGGAAGGTGCAGGTAGAGAACAGGTAACCACACTGCTAGCTCTCTCTCCTGAAAAATCACCCATTCCAGAATAGCTTTTCCTTTTTTAAAAAATGAGAGGGTCATCAGGGTTCCGTTATGCACATTTTCATCAATGGAGTATTGGGGCAACTCCCGTACGAGAACGGTTGACAGCGTTTGGAGCTTTTCAGTTTACAGAAAAGGTGAGTTAAAGGGGGAAGGGGAACAAGGCAGAGGTATATAAAATTATGCATGAAGAAAGTGGCTAGAGGAAAGTTTTTTCTCCCTCTCTCCAGCACTAGCACTCAGGGATATCCAGGGAAGCTGAATGTTGGAAGATTCAGGACAGACAAAAGAAATTATTCTTCACACAGCACATAGATAAACTATGGCATTCTCTTCTACAGGAGACAGATGTTACCACCAGCTTGGATTGCTATGGCAGAGGATGAGACAGGGCAGATGCAAGCCCCATGCTAAATCTCAGTTGCTGCTGGGAATCACAAGTTGCTGTTTCACTTGGCTCCTGCTTGCAAGTGGTGGTTGGCCACTGCAAGAAGAGGACGCCACACTAGATGGCCCTTTGCCCTGATCAAGCAGGGCTCTTAAAACAGGATCACAGAACAGTAGAGTCAGAAGGGAACCCAAGCGTAATCTAGTCCAACCCCCGGAAACACAGGAATCACAGCGAAAGAATCCTTGGCAGAGTCTTTTAGACAAGATTCCAACGGCAAAGAGTTGACCACCTCCCAAGGGAGTCCATTCCACTGTCAAACAGCTCTCACCGTCAGGAAGTTCTTACTAATGTTCAGCCAGAATCTCCTTTCTTGTGATTTGAATCCATTGGTTCAGTTCCTACCCTCTGGAGCAGAACTCCATCTTCAGATATTTGAAGATGACTATCATATCAGAATTACAAGCCTGGTAGATGAAGGGAACGCAGTGGATGTAGCCTACCTTGATTTCAACAAGGCATTCGACAAGGTGCCCCATGATATTCTTGTAAAGAAACTGGTAAAATGCGGTCTTGACTATGCTACCACTCAGTGGATTTGTAACTGGCTGACTGACCGAACCCAAAGGGTGCTCATCAATGGTTCCTCTTCATCCTGGAGAAGAGTGACTAGTGGGGTGCCACAGGGTTCTGTCTTGGGCCCGGTCTTATTCAACATCTTTATCAACGACTTGGATGATGGACTCAAGAGCATCCTGATCAAATTTGCAGATGACACCAAACTGGGAGGGGTGGCTAAAACCCCAGAGGACAGGATCACACCTTGACAGATTAGAGAACTGGGCCAAAACAAACAAGATGAACTTTAACAGGGAGAAATGTAAAGTATTGCACTTGGGCAAAAAAAATGAGAGGCACAAATACAAGATGGGGGACACCTGGCTTGAGAGCAGTACATGTTGGATCTAGGAATCTTGGTTGACCACAAACTTGACATGAGCCAACAGTGTGACACGGCAGCTAAAAAAGCCAATGCAATTCTGGGCTGCATCAATAGGAGTATGGCATCTAGATCAAGGGAAGTAATAGTGCCACTGTATTCTGCTCTGGTCAGACCTCACCTGGAGTACTGTGTCCAGTTCTGGGCACCACAGTTCAAGAAGGACACTGACAAACTGGAACGTGTCCAGAGGAGGGCAACCAAAATGGTCAAAGGCCTGGAAACGATGCCTTATGAGGAACGGCTAAGGGAGCTGGGGATGTTTAGCCTGGAAAAGAGGAGGTTAAGGGGTGATATGATAGCCATGTTCAAATATATAAAAGGATGTCATATAGAGGAGGGAGAAAGGTTGTTTTCTGCTGCTCCAGAGAAGCGGACACGGAGCAATGGATCCAAACTACAAGAAAGAAGATTCCACCTAAACATTAGGAAGAACTTCCTGACAGTAAGAGCTGTTCAACAGTGGAATTTGCTGCCAAGGAGTGTGGTGGAGTCTCCTTCTTTGGAGGTCTTTAAGCAGAGGCTTGACAACCATATGTCAGGAGTGCTCTGATGGTGTTTCCTGCTTGGCAGGGGGTTGGACTCGATGGCCCTTGTGGTCTATTCCAACTCTATGATTCTATGATTCTATGATATCATCTCTCAGTCTTCTCTTCTCCTGGCTAAACAGACCCAGCTCCCTCAACCATTCCTCATAAACCTTGGTTTCCAGGCCCTTGATTGTCTTGGTCCCCCTCCTCTGCCACGTTCCGGCTTTTCAACATCCTTCTTAAACTTACGGTCCAAGATAAAATTAATAAAGCATTTTGGGAGGTGCACAAGGCACCACGGATGCAGAACACCCCTCTAAGCAACATTCTAACCACAAGTACCCTGAACTTCAACAAAACACACAGCCTCCTCCGTTACCTCGCAGTTGAACTCCATCTCAGCATCCATGGTGATAATCCGCACTGTGAAGGTCTTGGGCTGCTTTCTCTTCAGTGAGCTGAAACTCATGCGCGATGCAATGGCACCAGCCATTACGAAAGCCCTGGGGAGCCACCCCAGCTCCCAAAGGGTGCAATCGTTCCCTCCTAACTTCAGGGAAACGTTCCCAACAATGGGAGGACTGCTTGAGGGGGAGACGGACCCCTCTACTCAGATGCAAGATGCAAACACTGAGGGGTCAAATGAGAGAAACCTCAGAGAACAACTTCACCCTTCCTGGCTTTTCTGGGGTGTTGTGGGGCGGGAGGAAAAAGCTAAGGGGTCAGCAGGACATCTAACAAGTCTCTAGGACTTGTCTGTGCCCCTCGGTGCTTATCTCCTCTGTCAAAGGAAAGTGTGTAGGGGTGTTAAAGGATAAATGGAAATAAGGACACCTCTCCTTTCAAAATGGCAGGGGAAGAGGAAATGTAAATAAATCTTTGGGGGAGAAACCACCAAAGCACCTGCTGGGCCGCTCTTGCTATGAACCAACAGCTGTGTTCAGCCTTCAAAAATGGGGAGATGTCCCTAGCGACCAGAAGAGGTGATTTGGGGATAGTGGATGGGCAAAAGCTGAGCCTTGGCTGGGCTTAGTAAGGTTTTGCAAGTAAGGTTTCGCACTGTTGCAAAAGCGGGCAGGTAAGGTTTTGCAATGTTCTTTTGAGAGAGAAGAGTCTGTAAAGACACGAGTTTCCTCAAACTCCAACCAGGGGTGGGACGGGAGGATGGAGTTTTCTGTCTCAAGGCATCCTTTTGAAGAAGAAATGTGAGTGGTTTCGGTGGGGAGTTTTTAAGGGGATCCCAACTCCACAAAGCAGATGTCGCTGCGGGCAATTTGGAGGGAGGGCAGAGGGCCCCTTGGGGGAAACGCTGCCGGAAAGTCAAGAAGAAGGATAATGGCAATGATAATACACAACCCCAGAAACTCAGTATAAAGGAGATGGGTAGAATTTGGGGGCATGAAAGGGGTGAAGTGAAATTGGGGGGGGGGCTTCTAAGTGAGAAATGGTGGGAGAGTTGCAATGGGGGGGTGACCCAAAAATTCAATATGGGAACGGGGGTGGGGGGACAACTTAGAATTCCTACTGTGAAACGGGGAGGGGTATTTAGGGGGCCTACTTGGGGGCTGGGGGAGGGGGCGCCAAGGGCTGGGGGAGGGTCTCCCGCCCAGGAATGGGGGGAGGATGCTCCTACGAGGGCAGTTTTGGGGCGGGGAGGGGCGGCCTCCTTCTTTCGGACCCACCAAAGTGTCCGGGGGGGTGTAGAATCTCTCTGGGGCGCTTCTCTTACTCCCCACCCCCCTCCCTGACTGGGAAACTGCCCCTCACCTCAGCCATCACAGCCTAACCTGCCACTCCTCGCCACTCTCTTCCCATTGGCTGAGAGGTCCTCCCCGGAGGCGGGACGTCGGGCCTCTTCCACCTCCCCTACCCACCCCTGACGTCTAGGGATCTGTGAGGGAATGCGAGAGCTATACTTCCGGTTTCAATGCGAACGGCAGCCATTTGCGGGGGTGGGGGGAAACGAGGAGCGGGGATAAAGCGGCAGGAACCGCTTTGTATCCCCCCCCCCTCACCCCGAATTTATGTAACTCTTTCATAGGTGGCCATGTACTGCGGTTCCCCACGCAATGATTTCTTAGCATGTTTGCCGCTTTCCCACCCACCTCAGCACTTTCGGTAGGGGACCGGAAGTTTCTGTATAGCTTCGTTAGGCTTGTGTCCACCTTTAAGCACCTATGTTAGGAAGTGGGTGGGGGCTCTACGTCTTCCGCTCTCATGGATTGGTCGAGCGGCGCTGCCGCTCAGCCCGACATACACCCTCTTCTCCACCTACCCGCTCCCCGCTTTAGACCATAGAAGCTCCGAAGAGAGAGTGACCGACTCCCGCCTCGGCTTTGTGCTTGGAAAGGCGGACAGGCAGGAAAAGAGGCGGGACCGGCAATGGGGTGGCCTTGGGCGCCCCCTAGCGAAAGACAGAAAGAAATGGAGAAAGTAGAATTCTGAGCGGAAAAGTTTTTATCCTCTCAGAACATCTAGAACTGGTGGACAGGGCCAGATTTAGATGAAGAGAGGCTCTAGGCTACTCCACTTGTGAGGAACCTCCCCAGACTCCACCCTCACGACTAGAAGAAAATGGAAGCGTGTTATAAACAAAATTGAGTGACGCCAAGGATGTTGAAGGGTATTTAAAATTCTGCCAATCGGAAGGTCGGCGGTTCGAATCCCCGCGACGGGGTGAGCTCCCATTGTTCAGTCCCAGCTCCTGCCAACCTAGCAGTTAGAAACTAGCACAGGGAAAATGAAGAATCGACCCGACAAAAAATTTAAAAAGGACTGGAGCAAATTTATTTATTACTTAAAAGAACAAAAACGTTTGTAGCATTGTAACGTGAAATGTTTAGTAATGTGAAATTAAGATGCTGATTTATAAATGAGAGTGTGATTTCTTAAAGTCAGTCTATGATAAAGAAGTGATTAGGGAAATGCGATAGATATGTTAATGTTATAGGGATGTCAGAAAGAGGGAGGGAAGGAAGTCAATGCTCCTTTTGAGCAAATAATATAAGCTGTGAATATGTGTATTGAACTGAAATGAAATATGGAAAACTCAGTAAAAATTATGATAAAAAAAAGAAAGCACGTCAAAGTGCAAGTAGATAAATCTCTGATGGGAGAGGGGAGACTGCCCGCTGGGGAGCAGGCAGGCTGGCGAGGCCCCCTACATTTAGAGGCCCTAGGCTTTAGCCTACTTAGCCTGTACATAAATCCGGCACTGCTTGTGGATATCTATTAAGCTGAATGTCAGGAAGCTGAAGGGTCAGGACAGCTAAAAGAAAGGACTTTTCTTTAACTATGGAACTCCCTTCCACAAGGAGACAGTGATGGCCGCCAACCTTGATGGCTTTAAAAGAGAAATAGACAAATCAATGTAAAGTTATAGCTCCATTCTTACAGATGAGTGTCTGATGTATCGTGTTTATCATATTCTATATTTTGTTGTAAGCCACCCAGAGTGGCTGGGGCCACCCAGTCAGATGGGTGGGGTATGTAATAAATTATTATCATTATGTTGAACTTCACCAAGAAGTGAAAAGTGGTCGGCTCCTCTTTTGAGACATCTTTGTCCAGGATTCCCAGAATTCGATCTCCCTTCAATCTCTTCAAGAAGAGCCTGCCGGATCAGGCCAAGGGCCAGCATCCTGTTCTCACAATGGCTGACCAGATAATACCCCCACGGGAAATCTGAAAGCAGGACCTAAGCACAAGAGCAGCACTCTCTCAACCTCTTCCCAGCAAATGATCTTCAGAAGTACAATGCCTCCAGCAGTGGAGGTGGAACATAACCTTTGGGGGCCAGCTGTGCCCCATAAATGTGCCCGGTCACCTTTTAAAGCGGTCCAGGTTGATAGCCGGGACGCGGGTGGCACTGTGGGTTAAACCACAGAGCCTAGGACTTGCCGATCAGAAGGTCAGCAGTTCGAATCCCCACGACGGGGTGAGCTCCCGTTGCTCGGTCCCTGCTCCTGCCAACCTAGCAGTTCGAAAGCACCTCAAAGTGCAAGTAGATAAATAGGTACCGCTCTGGCGGGAAGGTAAACGGCGTTTCCGTGCGCTGCTCTGGTTCGCCAGAAGCAGCTTAGTCATGCTGGCCACATGACCCGGAAGCTGAACGCCGGCTCCATCAGCCAATAAAGCGAGATGAGCGCCGCAACCCCAGAGTCAGCCACGACTGGACCTAATGGTCAGGGGTTCCTTTAGGTTGATAGCTATCACTTCATCTCAAGTGGTCCTGAGTTCCATAGTTTTAACTACACAATATGTGGAGAATTACTTTCTTTTGCCTGTCCCAAATATTAATCTGAATGTTGCCAGAAGCGATTCACACTGCAGTACAGTGGTACCTGTGGTTAAGAACTTAATTTGTTCTGGAGGTCTGTTCTTAACCTGAAACTGTTCTTAACCTGAGGTACTACTTTAGCTAATGGAGCCTCCCGCTGCTGCTGCGCAGTTTCTGTTCTCATCCTGAAGCAAAGTTCTTAACCCAAGGTACTATTTCTGGGTTAGTAGAGTCTGTAACCTGAAGCATCTGTAACCCGAGTTACCACTGTATTCTTTACATTCAGGGAGCGCCAAAGCAATGACTTGTGGTGTACAAACAGAGCCTCTGTCAGTATCATCACACCTCAATGGTGTGATCTGGCTCCCTTGTTTGAGCTGTCACAAATCGGTCCTATGATACCTGGACTGGGGAAATGTTTACACCTGTGGCACATCCTATGTGGCATCAGTGTGGTGGCCTTGACTGTAGGCTGCTTGAACTTGAAAGCGCCTCTGAGCATGTACAGAGGGCCATATGTTATTTAGCAAACCAAGCCACCAGTGCTTCAGGAGTTTGGAGGAGTCCAGCTAAGGGCATCTGGTTTTCAATAATTTTTTACAATTTAACCAAGTGGGCTCAGTGTGGCTGAAACAGGACTAATTATGGTAGTATCATGGGCCGGAGGTTCCTCCCTCTTGACTTAACCATTTCTTACCTCCAAGCTTATTAACGTCAGGCACCCAAGCATGGGGAATTTTGCATGAGTTTCAGAGGGTTGAACCTGTGAGGTTCTTTTCAGGCGATTCGCAATCAGTTCTCCATGGCTGGTGCAAGGCGATTGATCCAATTATTTCAATGACTTGCCTATAGCTCCTCCATCGATCACCTGCAACGGGAACGCTTTATTGAAACCCAGCCAGCGTGCTGTTCCAAAGAGATCTGTTTCCCTTAAAGCACATGCTAAGCCTCCCAAGTGGACGCTGTATCTTCCCGATTGTCACTATGGGTCATTTACAGAGTCAAAGGTATTAAAGGCTTTCATAATTCACTTCCCCAAGCTGGCCAGCACAGCGTTGAAGGTGCAGACCGAAGCCTTGTCTGTGAGCCATTTGTAACATCCTAATCTGTGATTAACTTCCCGGCAGAGAGATGCCGTCATGTGCCATATACGCCATAAGCCCGGCTCTTAAATTATACACAGTAATGTTGCCCCAGGTTAAATCCGGGAGCCAGTGTGGTGTAGTGTCAGACTAAGACCTGAGAGACCAGGGTTCGAATCCCCTCTGGGCCATGAAACTCACTGGGGTAACCTGGGGCCATTTGCTGCTTCTCTCAGCCCAACCCATGACTGTGGTAGGGATTATTATTATTATTATTATTATTATTATTATTATTATTATTTATACCCCACCCTCCCCAGCCAAGACCGGGCTCAGAGCAGCTAACAACCAATAATAAAAACAAGTTGATTAAAATACAATTTAAAAAACAAGATTAAATACAACATTAAAACATTAGGATGCAGCCTCTTCACAGGAGGAGAAAGGAAAAAGAAAGAGGGGCAGGGAATCAAACTGGTTCTAGGCCAAAGGCCAGGTGGAACAACTCTGTCTTACAGGCCCTGCGGAAAGAAATCAGATCCCACAGGGCCCTGGTCTCATGAGACAGAGCGTTCCACCAGGCCGGAGCCAGTGTTGAGAAGGCCCTGGCTCTGGTTGAGGCTAATCTGACTTCCTTAGGGCCCAGGACCTCTAGGGTGTTGCTGTTTATGGACCTTAAGGTCCTCCGTGGGGCATACCAAGAGAGGCGGTCCCGTAGGTCCGCATCAATCACCTTGAACCAGCCATGGAGAACTGATTGCAATGACCATGTACGTCACCCTGAGCTCCTTGGAGAAAGAGGTAAGATACAAATGCAATGAAATCAATCAGTTCTCAGCATCTCCAAGCAGGGCTGGGAATATCCCTGCCTGTAACCCTGGAGAGCTGCTGCCAGTCTGTGTAGGTAATACTGAGCTAGATGGCCAATAGGTCTGACTCAGTGGAAGGCCACTCCCTGTGTTTTTAATGTAGTTAAACATTTGCTGCTCAATTACTTAGAGGCACCTTTTAAAATCAATTCATCTTATCCATTAAGTGATGTAGCCCCGCTATGATGCCCCATACCAAAGAATGCTGAAGGCTTTTAAAACAAATTAAAGAAAATTGTTCCTTTTTTATTTATTCACTTGCTTATGTTTCCAGACTTCGTCTTCTCCGCTGGATCTCAAGTCTCTGTGCCTGGCTCTCATCCAAATACAATATATTAAGCGTTATTACCGAGCAAGCTCTGTCTGGACCGAAACAATTCGATTTTTGCAGAGAGAAAAAATGGCTTTGGACTTTGTGCATGAGAACCAGAAGCACGTATGGGTCTCAGGACATCAACATTTGATTGTGGAGAGCTTTAATATGGAGGTGCAGAGCCTTTTTTCAGCTGGGGGCTGCATTCTATTGTGGACAAACTTCTGGGGGCCACATGCTAATGGTGGGCGGGGCGAGGAGCAACAGTGGGTGGAGCAATCAATGTTGACTTTGCCTTTGGTACAGTGGGCTAGTTTCTACACACACACATGCATGCACACACAACACTCTCTATCCTTCATCCAGGCAAGCCGGAGGCACAATCAGAGTTCAAGGACACCGTCCAATGAAGCAGAAATATCCAAGCAGGGTGCAGGAGGGGACGTGGCCTGGGGAGAGTCCCAGGGCCAGACAGAGAGGCTTGGCGGGTCATGTGCACCTGGGTCTGATGGTCCCCACCTCTGGATTTTGGTACAAAGCAGGATCAGTGAGGGTTGTGGCCTGAGGGGCATTCAAAGGGCCAAATAAAGAGGGCTAGAGCACGGGTGTCAAACACAAGGCCCGCGGGCCGAATCCGGCCCGCCAGACCTCGTCATGTGGCCCGTGTAGCCGCCGCCGGCCACCAGCCTTCACCTTTTATTCTCGCTTTTTTTTTTTCCAAGCCGCCTCTTCAGCGCATGCACGGCAGCCTACAAGCCAGAGAACGTCTGCCCTCTAGCGGCGCCGGCCGTTCTACACAGGAAACCTCTACTTTACATGCATTCAGGAAACCTCCACTTCTTTTTAAATTGAGCGCATGCCATCCTGTGATGTGACAGATCCAACGGCTGCCTGAACCCTTCTCTCCTGTACTGTAAGTCCTACAGATACAACTGGCCCTTTGAGGGTGACCAAACTGCTGATGCGGCCCCCGATGAATTTGAGTTAGACACCCCTGGGCTAGAGGGCCGCATTTAATCCCTGCATCTTAGGTCCAGATCCTCAAAGTGCCCCTATTTTCCAGAGACAGTCCTGGATTTACAGAATCTGTCTGAATTGATCCCAGAATGACCCTCTATTCCTTAGGATGTCCCTATTTTCATCGGAGAAAAGTTAGAGGGTACGGAGTTATGGAACTCCCAAGCCAAGGAGATAAGCAGCCAAAGGAAGCCCTGTTTTATTATGTTGTTTTTTTTAATGTATGTTGAAAGCTACCTAGAGTGGCTGGGGCAACCCAGCCAGATGGACAGCATACAAATAATAAAATTATTATTATTATTAGTGCTTTTTTTCTTTAAAAAAAAGTTTAGGGGTATTCTCCTTTTCCTACTCATATTGAAATACTGCCCCTCAAAGAGGTCAAACTTAGATTCACAAAATGTTTAGGGGTATGCGTACCCCTGCGTACCCCCAGAAAAAAAACACTGATTATTATTATTATTCTGGAATAGGATGTCCCTGTTTTCATCAGAGAAATTTTGGAGGGTATGTAGGTCTCCCACCCCGGTTTAGTTGATTTTATTAACTAAATGGGACCACATGGGGAGGCCTAGTGGCCCTGGTCAGTCCTGCAGACCAGAGCCTAGGTAGTCCTATGGGTCAGAGGCCTAGCTAGTCTCGCATCCCAGAGTTTCCCCACCACTGGGATACAAGATGGCAGCTTCAGACTAGCAGAGTTTAGTTTCAAGTGGCAGCTCAGATTCTCCAGAGGCGCCTGAGGGCTCTGTGAAGGGGCACCGATCTCTTCAGGATCAGGCTCTTCCCTGAGACGCCCATTGTGTTTCTTTGGCCAATCCCTCAATGTGGGTCACCTTCCTTAAGAATAGAGATAATTCACTTTCTTCAGGAGCTTTGCCAAGAGCAATTGAAATTCTCCTTTCCCTGAGAATAGAAAAAGAATTAAGCCCAAGAGTGGATTTGTCAATGTCAGACTTTATTTTCTGCACCCAGACATCCTTTCGCTCCCGTTTAAATTGAAATGCAGTTGCTGGACCTGACTCCTTTTTCTGTTTTCCTTCTCCTGTCTCCAGCTCAATGACTGTGTGTCCTGATTTTCGTGTTTTGTCTTGAACATTTCAATCCGCAGGAAGCCAGAAAATGTATTTATTGGTGGCTCTTTAATAAATACATATTTAAGTTGCTAGACATTTTTAAAAGATTCAAATGAGACGATTTACAAATATGTATATAAATCTTAGGAAACATGTATACAAATCTTGGGATAAGCCTTGATTAAAAATTCATTACCAGAGGATTACTGGAATCGAGTTGTTTATTTGGGATTGCTATACTGTATTATGTTTTGAATTAGATTACCAGTAAACTACACTCGGGGGCCTTTGCTATGTATTTCTGTTATAATTATTGAATTGCCATCTTTGCTTGCCTCCTGATTTGCCAGTATTTTGCTGGAGGTATTCAGTCTCACACTGGACCTTTAGGTTTGCAAAAGTAAGGTGGATCAAAAGGCTCTGTCACCCTCGAGTAGCAAATCCTCTTCTTCTTTTCAGATAAATTTATTGATTTTAACAAGGCAGACAAAAAGAAAATCGATTACACTGGCACAGCACAGTGCAATACACTGCAAACTCTGCAACACCCTTCCACACAATGCTCATGAAGCAGAAAATGGCGGCAAGTTTTAAACTAGAGCTTGCCAATCAGAAGGTCGGCAGTTCGAATCCCCGCGACAGGGTGAGCTCCCGTTGTTCGGTCCCAGCTCCTGCCAACCTAGCAGTTCGAAAGCACGTCAAAGTGCAAGTAGATAAATAGGTACCGCTCCGGCGGGAAGGTAAACAGTGTTTCCGTGCGCTGCTCTGGTTCGCCAGAAGCATCTTAGTCATGCTGGCCACATGACCCGGAAGCTGTATGCCGGCTCCCTCGGCCAGTAAAGCAAGATGAGCTCCAAAACCACAGAGTCGTCCGCGACTGGACCTAACGGTCAGGGGTTCCTTTACCTTTACCTTTAAAGACCCATATATTTAAGCAGGCATTGTTGGGCTAATAAGATTAATCACACTATTCTGTTTTGTTATTTATTGATATTTAACTCAATATTTCATCAATGGCTTCTCTGTTTTTACCGATGTATTCCTTTGTATTTTTGTTTTAATTGCATTTTTCATTCTCTTTTAAAAATACCTTTCTGTGTTTTATGTAAACTGCTTACGGGTGTTATAGAAATTTTAAGGTTTCAATATAGAATAAATGTTGATAATTGCACAAGGTAAGCACGCATACATAAGCATATAAGCCACACGTCTAAATTAGTACAGGAGAGCAATCCAAAAGCCATCTTGGCTCTCCTAAAGACTAAATATTTCCTCTGTCTCCTTAGTCCTCCTTGCCTGAGAACAGGTAGGCAGATAGCAATCAGGAGAAGTTTCTGAAGGGCTTCATTTCCTATATCTATGAACCTCCTTTGTATTGTCATTGTTTGCCCAGATGCTCTGCATTGAGGGATGTCTGACAGGCATCCTGATTGTCTTATGCTTATGTTTGTGTAAACTGTGTCTGGAACTATGTAAAACTTCCTAAATATTCAGGAATAGCACACCTTGGCCTGCCTGAGCCACAGCAACCCCACCTTATGTGCAATTTAATTTCTGACTGTTTGTAGAGAGGATGTCCTGCTTCTCCACCCCAAAATGCAAACCCTTAAAAGAGATGTTTCTTCTGGGCTCTGGGTCTCTCTTGCCTCCTTGCTAGGAGGGGAGGGAGCTCTGTTGCAACAGAAAAATAAAGATCTGCCTTGCTTTCACTGCCTCCTGCCTCCATCCATTCATCTCTGACGGATCATGTACTTAGGGGACTCAGTCCCTTGGGGAGTTGGGCAGCAAAAGCCAACCACCCTTATTTTTCTATATCAGGGGTTTTGCGTATGAAGCAATATATAAATGATGAGTGCTAGCGTTATGAGATCAGTTTCCCAAGCAAGCCAACCGTTCCTCAAACTAGCTGGAATTTTGTTTGTTGGCGGATCACTAGTTATATTGTTGTTGTTGTTTAGTCATGTCCGACTCTTCGTGACCTCATGAACCAGAGCACACCAGGCACTCCTGTCTTCCACCTCCTCCCGCAGTTTGATCAAACTCATGCTGGTAGCTTCGAGAACACTGTCCAACCATCTCGTCCTCTGTCGTCCCCTTCTCCTTGTGCCCTCCATCTTTCCCAACATCAGGGTCTTTTCCAGGGAGTCTTCTCATTAGGTGGTCAAAGTATTGGAGCCTCAGCTTCAGGATCTGTCCTTCCACTGAGCACTCAGGGCTGATTTCCTTAAGGATGGAGAGGTTTGATCTTCTTGCAGTCCATGGGACTCTCAAGAGTCTCCTCCAGCACCATAATTCAAAAGCATCAATTCTTCGGCGATCAGCCTTCTTTATGGTCCAGCTCTCACTTCCATACATCACTACTGGGAAAACCATAGCTTTAACTACACGGACAGAAAGTTAAGAAGTCCTTGGGACAAAGTTTAAAACCTGTGAAGCTATTGCACCAAGAATGCTGTTGAACTCACAGGAGAACAGCTTTTCCCCAGTGCCATGCATACTTTTGCAAACTTCTGTCGTGTTGCCTCTCAATCGCCTTTTCTCTAAACTTAAATTTTAAAAGCCCCAAACGCTGCAACCTTCGAAGCATTCCCCCCCCCAAAGAATTCTGGGCGCTGTAGTTCGTTAAGGGCAGTCGGCCATTGTAATTCTGCGAGGGGTGAACTACACGCCCCATAATCCCTTGCAGGAAAGCCTGCCCTTCGAACGCGCTTTAGAGGGATGGCGTCAGGTGGCTAGTCCGTATGAAGGCTGCCGGCCGCTGACGCCCCCTTGCGGCTGTAAGGAGACCCCAGGGGTCCCTCCCACGCCCGGGGAGAGGGGGGCGTGTGCCGCATCGGAGCACCGAGATCCGCCCCAAAGCGTCGCTGCGGCGACGGCAGCGGCAGCACCTCCTCTTCCCTCCTCTCGTCCGGGTCTTGCTGGAGTCGCGGGCGAGAGCGAAGATGGCGACGTGGGCGTGCGGGATGCCGGCGCGGCGCTTGCTGCTGCTGGCGGCGCTGCGGGGCGGAGACCCTTGCCTGGCCCGCGGCAGCGGCGGGGGCCGGTGAGCAGCTTGCCCTAACCTCCCCTCCCCACCCGGAGCCCTCCCCCGATGCTGCCTTGCGCACCTCTCCATGCCCAAAGTCTTGCACCTTTGCTTGCGCCACGGGCGCTCCCCGGGTGGCAAAGGGTTAAACTCCAGCAAAGAGGAGGCGGGGGGGGGCGGGAGGGAAATCAAGCCTGCCTTAGGATCGCTACCAAGGCCCGGAACAAACCCCGGGAAGAAGAAAAATCGTTTTCACTTTCCCGATGCTGCCTTGCGCACCTCTCCATGCCCAAAGTCTTGCGCCTTTGCTTGAGCCACGGGCGCTCCCTGGGCGGCAAAGGGTTAATCTCCAGCAGGCTGGGGCGGGGGGGGAGAGATTAAGCCTGCTTTAGGATCGCAACCAAGTCCCGCAACAAACTCGGGAGGAAGGAAAAGGATCGTTTTCACTTTGCGCCCTTGGAGGGCTGGTGAGGCCTGGCGCTGGAAGCTCTTAAAACGCAGTGGACTTTGGGGTCGTCTCCAACGTTGGGGTCCTTCTCATAGGAAGCCCATTGAAATGAATGGACGTCACTTAACCTAGTGCCATGAACTTCAAGGGGCCTGCTCTTAACTTGGTTGGATGCAACCCTGTTTTAAAATGCTCGTTTGCTTGATTCTTGCAAGTTTTGAGAGTCTTCTCTTTTTCCCTTCTCCTGTCTGTCATGGATGCTTTAGCTGAGGTTCCTACATTGCAGGGGGTTGGACTAGATGCCCCTTGGGTCCCTCTTGCCAACTCTTAAGATTCTGTGACGCCTTAGGCTGCAAAGCTAATCCCATTGACCTGCAAGTAAGCCCCACTGAATCCAGCAGGATTTTTGTCTGAGTAGATGGACTTATTAGGCTTGTGCTGTAAGTAACAAATTATTTGGAAAGCTGGAATTTTGGACTAGAGATTAGCTACCAGCCCTTGGCTAACAGATCTGACTTCTCCAACTTGGTGCCTTCCAGCAGTTTTGAATTCCAGCTGCCATCAATCCCAGCATCTTACGGCTGGAGGGCACCAGGTTGGGGAACCCTGGTGTCCATGTTCACAAAGTTACAGCCCCTGAAGGGGCCAGTGGGAATCCTGTTGAGTTAGCCAGGCCTCCCTGATGGATTGTTTACCATCTATTTTCTGAAGTTAATGAATGACCAGCGTTGGTGCAAAGGTCTTGGCTGCAAAGAAAGGGTCTCTCTCCCTCTCTCTCTTTATTTATCTAGTTGCCATCTTAGATAAGAGCAGAATATTAGATCCATAACATTGGCTGGAGTGAAATGGTACCCATTGCTGGGTAGAGCTGTGTTCGGGAGAAGCCGTTCATTTTTTATTTTGCAGCTTTTGCAGATAGATATTTTATTTTTACGTGGGGAGAGCTTAAGAGAGAGAAGCTTGATCAGAATTTCTATATAAGCATATTGTACCGTAAACTTCCCTTTCATGTCAGTTATCCATACAAAGAACCTTGTGAGGTAGTTCTGTATTATAATTCTCCATCTCCTAGATTTTGCGGGGGGGGGGGGTTAGAGGTGAAATGTGGGGTCTGTCCTGATTCACATTTCACTCTATTTCACAAGATTTATATACCGATGGATTGTAATAACAACTCAAAGCAGTTTGCAAAACGTTAAAATTACCATTAGAAAAAGTTTAAAACAACTGTTTTAAAATAATTTTAAAATCAACAATAAGGTAAAAAGCGGGTTATAACAGATGCTGGCGTTCTGCATGTCTGGATAGGCTTGCCGGAACAAAAATGTTTTCAGCTGTTTCCATTTTACAGCTGGGAATGAAGCTTGGAGCAAGCTGGTACACGAAACTAAAGTACCGTATTTTTCGCTCGATAGGATGCACCGGACCATAGGAGGGGGAGAACAGGAAAAAAAATCCCCCCCTCTGCTCAGCGCCCCTTCAGTGAAGCGGCAGGAGAAACGGAGCCCCTTCCATTTCTCCTCCCGCTTCGCTGAAGGGGCGCTGCGCAGAGAGGGAAAACTGTGCAGCGCCTCTCCAGCGAAGCGAAGCCTGGAGAGCAAGAGGGACCCCTCTCACTCTCCAGGCTTCAGGCGGCTATCCGCAAGCCTTCGGAGCACAGTGGGAACTCCCGCTGCGCTCCAAAGGCTTGCGGATAGCCATTTGAAGCCCCCGGAGTGCGGGGGGAGCTCTCCTTCTGCGTTTCGGAGGCTTCGCATTGCTATCGCAGAAGCCAAGGAGCCTGCATTCACTCCATAAGACGCACACACATTTCCCCTTAATTTTTGAAGGGGGAAAAGTGCATCTTATAGAGCGAAAAATACGGTAAACCAGCAGCATAGTTTTCCAAGCTGCAAAATGCTCCATTCGTCCTCCAGCAGCTCATTTTTTAAGAGCCCATGCGAACTGATGCAGAATTATCCACAACACAAGGGCATAATAACTTAAAACAAGGAAGGCTACTTGCTTCAGAACCCTTATGCTGATTATGCAGGGACTGAAACTCATTATTGGCCTTTGAGAAGTAATGAATTGACATTCGTCCTGTTCCTTGGTCACCTGGAGATCATGTCTCACTCGCCATAGGCAACCAGGCGAGTAGCAATTCAGAAACCTGCTCCAGATGTTTTGCTGCGAAGGCTGCCACCTCCTCCTTCCTTTTGTGGGTTGCCTTTCTGACACCTGCATTTTTTTTCAGGGACTACTCCAAAGACCACGAAAGCAGCTGGTTCCGTTCCCTCTTCGTCCACAAAGTGGACCCCCGAAAGGATGCCCATTCCAACCTCCTGTCAAAGAAAGAGACCAACCACCTGTACAAGATCCAGTGTGAGCCGCCACCCCCCTCGTCCCTAAGCTTCCTTTCCCCTCTGCTCTTGTCGTAAGCCTCTGTGTTGCTTTCTGCATGGGTGAGGGCCCAGGGCTGGTCCGCGGGTAAGGACTGTAAGCGGCAACAGATTTTGCGTCTTCTGTTCAGCAGAGCAGCTTGGGGAAGTGGGTGATCAGCGAAGAGCCTTCCATGCTTTGCGTAAAAACCATGGAACCTTCTTGGTGCAGAACTTTGGCTTTCTGAAAACTTTTTAATATATATATTTTAAAATTATTATTTTACTTTTTCACATATAAGAAACATAATTCAAAATACAATCATACCTTGGAAGCCGAACGTCTTGCCAGTCAAACGTTTTGGCTCCCAAACGCTGCAATAGTGAGTGTTCCAGTTTGCGAACGTTCTTTGGAAGCCGAACATCCGCCGTGGCTTCCGATTGCATGCAGGAAGCGCCTGCAGCCAATCGGAAGCCGCGTCTTGGTTGCCGAACGTTTTGGAAGTCGAACGGAGTTCTGGAATGGATTCCATTCAGCTTCCAAGGTACGACTGTACAATAACCAACAGCAATAGCAGCTGGCGTGTTATTTCTCAGAAACAAAGCATAGCAGCAGCTTAAAGCTGGAACCACTGCTTAGAAGAAGTTTATAATTCTAATAATAATAATAATAATATTTATAATATTTATAGCCCACCCATCTGGCTGGGCTTCCCCAGCCATTCTGGGCAGCTTCCAACAAAACATTAAAATACAATAGTGTGTCAAACATTAAAAGCTTCCCTAAACCGGGCTGCCTTCATATGTCTTCTGAAAGTCAGGTAGTTGTTGTTCTCTTTGACAACTGGTTGGAGGGATTCCACAGGGAGGGCGCCACCACGAGAAGGCCCTCTGCCTGGTTCCCTGTAACTTGGCTTTTTGCAGGGAGGGAACTGCTAGAAGGCCCTCGGAGCTGGACCTCAGTAGAACGATGGGGATGGAGACGCTCCTTCAGGTATACTGGACCGAGGCCACTTAGGGCTTTAAAGGTCAGCACCAACACTTTGAATTATGCTCGGAAACGTACTGGGATAGTTCTTTCAAGACGGGTGTTATGTGGTCTTGGCAGTCGCTCCCAGTCAGCAGTCTAGCTGCTGCATTCTGGATTAGTTGTAATTTCCGGGTCACTCTCAAAGGTAGCCCCACGTACAGCACATTGCAGTAGTCCAAGCGAGATATGACTAGAGCATGCACTACTCTGGCGAGACAGTCCGTGGGCAGGTAGCCTGCGTACCAGATGGAGCTGGTAGAGAGCTGCCCTGGACACAGAATTGACCTGCACCTCCATGGACAGCTGTGAGTTACCCCATTCAAGACCAGGGGGTCCTCCACACCCGCCCGCCTCCTGTCCCCCCCAAAACAGTACTTCTGTCTTGTCAGGATTCATCCTCATCTAGAAAGTCTCTAGTCCAATTAGGTCTCTCCAGATGTTTCTCTGGATCTGGATAGGCTGTCTCAATTGATGGTCGCATCTCAAATGGGAGATGAATGGATTGTAAAAGGATGAAGGAGAAATCGCTTCATATTAAGGCATTGGTTGGGGGGGAGCAAGTCAAGTTTCTCGACCTCATGATTACAGAAGCTACATTGACAGTCTCTGTTGTCTGTGATATAGTGACCTTGCTGCCTGCTTCCAACCAATCTCCTATCAGCGTCCATGGCAGACTTACTCAAACCACCCTTCCACCGCCAAATCTGTTCCTTGCCTCCAAGAAGTTCCAAATTCTGTGCAAGATGCAAATACTAAACAAACAGACAGACAGACAGACAGAATTATGTGTGCTGGTTAGGCAGGAATAATGCACACTGAATAATCTTCAAATACAGTGGTGCCTCGCAAGACAAAAAGAATCCGTTCCGCGGGTCTCTTCGTCTTGCGAAGCAAGCCCATTAGCGGATTAGCGCTATTAGCGGCTTAGCGGATCAGCTGATTAGCGGCTTAGCGGATCAGCTGATAAGCGGCTTAGCGATCAGCTGTTAAGCGGCTTAGCGGATCAGCTGATAAGCGGCTTAGCGGCTTGGGAAAAAGGGGGGGGAACCCTGCAGGAACTCGCAAGACATTTTCGTCTTGTGAAGCAAGCCCATAGGAAATTTGTTTTGCGAAGCACCTCCAAAACGGAAAACCCTTTCGTCTAGCGGGTTTTCCGTCTTGCGAGGCATTTGTCTTGCGGGGCACCACTGTATCTGAAGGGCTGTCACATGGAGCAAGCTGGTTTTCTGCTGCTCCAGGGAGATAGGGCCCGAACCAATGGATTCAAACAACAAGAAAGGAGATTTTGACGGAGCGTTCAGAAGAACTTTTGAGTTGTTTGACAGTGGAATGGGCTCCGATGGAAGGTAGTGGCCTCCCCTTCATTTGAGGTTTTTAAACGGGTGGGATTGCCCTCTGTCAGATTCTTTAGCCATGATTCCTGTCTCGCAGGGGGTTGGACTAGATGACCCTTGGTTGCCTTCCACCTCTACAGTTCTAGGATTCCATTTCAAAAATAAAAACACCCTGTTGCCGTTACTTGAGAATTTGAGAATAGAATCTGGATTCTGGAACAGAATCTGGATTCTTGATGCGTGTTTTATCTGGACAGAATACTCGTTGCTTCAGGAAATGTATTATTATTTGTTTGGTGCAGAATGCTTGCTGTGGGGCAGCCATGAATTTCCCTGCTAGCTCACCAGGGGAACGAGTTGGTCCTGTTCAAGGAGACTGTTTTGCTGCAGGCTTCCTCCGCTCTTCCTCCCTCCCTCTTACTTTGCATTTGATACTAAGCCAAACGCAACTGTTTTCTTTGTCATTTCAGTCCACAATGTGAAACCTGAGTGCCTGGATGCCTATAACAGCCTGACGTAAGTATCTCCCGCTGTCAGGAATTCTGAGATTGAGAAGAGAGGTTTTTTAAAAGGCCTAACGTCAGTATAGTGCAATTCAGTAGTAAAATTCCACAAGCAGGAATTTTGCTGCAATGTTCAGGGAGCCGTCCAGTTCCTACTCCCATCTTCCCAGAAACTCCATTCCTTTTAAAGTATTTATTTATTTGGTTTTTCAAATTAAAATTTTACAGAGATATATCAAGCGTAAATCTTAAAAACAAGATTCCAAGGAATCTTCTGGACTTCCATCCTCCCCTTTATGGGTCCTAGTATCATTTCCTTTGGCATCTTTTACGTTGATCCAAATCTTTTACCTCTTCCATTATGTCCAAAATTCACCCTTATTCACTACAAGTGGTATTCCAGTCCTATTAATGATTTTAACTGTTTATGGTGGTCTTTAAGATAAGTTATAAATTTTCCCCATTTCTTGTTAAACTTTTGGTCTTCCAGATTTCTGAGTCTTATCCAGTCATTTTAGCCATTTCAGCATAGTCCATCGGCTTCACCTGCCATTCTTTTCTGGTAGGAACTTTATATTCTTTCCATTTCTGGGCCCCCAAACACTCCATTCCATCCATCCTGTACTTTCCAGATACAGTGGTACCTCAGGATGTGAACGGGATCCGTTCCAGAGCCCCGTTCGCATCCTGAAGCGAACGCAACCTGCAACTGTGCGTCTGCGCGTGCCGCGATATGCCGCTTCCGTGCATGCGCGTGACGTCGTTTTGACTGTCTGGGCATGCACGAGCAGCAAAACCCGGAAGTAACGCGTTTCATTACTTCCTGGTTGCCGCGGAGCGCAACCCGAAAGCGCTCAACCTGAAGCAACTTCAACCCGAGGTATGACTGTACTGCATTCTGCTCCCCGCCCCCCCAAGTTTTCCTTAAAAAAAAAAAAAGACAGCGTTTGTTTAAAAGTACAGTGGTACCTCGGGTTAAGAACTTAATTCGTTCCGGAGGTCCGTTCTTAACCTGAAACTGTTCTTAACCCGAAGCACCACTTTAGCTAATGGGGCCTCCCACTGCTGCTGCGCCACCGGAGCACGATTTCTGTTCTCATCCTGAAGCAAAGTTCTTAACCTGAGGTACTGTTTCTGGGTTAGCGGAGTATGTAACCTGAAGTGTATGTAACCCGAGGTACCACTGTATAGTGTGTACTCAGCCTTGGAAGGGGCTCCCCCTGTTTTTAGAGGCAGGGGATGTGTGTAAGGAAGAACATAATTTAAAATATAATAAACAACAACAATAGCTAGAGGTGTATTAAATTGTGTGGAGAGAGAGAGAGAGACGCTTTCCAACTTTTTATAATACTAGGTCCTCCTGTGAAGGCACCTGCCTGATATCAACAGGCAGGAAGTTCCAAAGTGTAGGAACTTTGGGGAATTATAGGGACAGAACTACCCAAACTTTATAGAAATTTATTCATGTATGCGACTACAGTGGCAAGAATGTTACTTGTCCCAAAAATGGGAAGAAGAAGAAGTCCCAGAGAAAGAAGAATGGGTACAAAAACTCATGGAATATGCAGAAATGGCAAAACTTACCAGGAAAAAGAAGGAATAAGGATAACAAACTTTTTATAAAACAATGGAAATGGTTTATTGAATATTTACAAACAGATAATAAGAACATTGGCAGGATTATTGTAATCTGCAGTTTTATAAGAGTATATGTTTAAAGTAGATGAGTAAATTCAGTTAATTTGGAATATGGGGGGGGTAATTTAAGCAACCGCAGAAAGGGAGGGAGGAAGTCAAGTCTTGAAATGTTAAAATGATTGTAAAATTATTGAAATGTACAAACTCAGAAAATCACAAAAAAACCAAAAGTGTAGGTGCCGCCACACTAAAATATCACGTTTTTAGGAATGTAGAGCAGGCATTATGTAGTACTTGTAACAGTGCCAGTTCTGCCGATCGAAGTGGTTGTGGGGACATATGTGGACTAAGGTGATGCCATAGGTATTGTTATTAATAATTGCTGCTAATAATAAATGTGAGCCTTGGCTATACCCACCTCACCTGTCGATTCCATGTCTGCTTTGCAGGGAGCAGGTACTTCCAAAGCTGCACTCGGACTCGGACTACCCCTGCGACCTGGTTGGCAACTGGAATACTTGGTATGGTGAACAGGACCAGGCAGGTGAGGGGGCAGGGCCAACCATGCAGGGTGGGTTTAGGGGCCTTCGAGTTCTGCCTTGACAGGAAGTTAATGGCATACGACTCGGGGAGCCGTAGCGATTCAGCCCTTACTCCCCTTCCATCTTTAAAACAAACAAACCCGTAATCCATGGGTAGGCAAACTAAGGCCTGGGGGCCGGATCTGGCCCAATCGCCTTCTAAATCCAGCCCGTGGACAGTCTGGGAATCCATGTTTTTACATGAGTAGAATGTGTGCTTTTATTTAAAATGCACCTCTGGGTTATTTGTGGGGCATAATAATTCGTTCATTCCCCCTCCCCCCAAAAAATATAATCCAACCCCCCACAAGGTCTGAGGGACAGTGGACCGGCCCCCTGCTGAAAAGGCTTGCTGACCCCTGCCGGCGTAATCCATTAGCCACTGCCTCTAATCAGAACCTCCATGTGCAAGAGCAGTACATCCACCATTACTAGATGCTTTGTGCATTACCTAAGGAGGCCCTCGGGATTCAGCCCTTCCTCCTCCCGATAAAAAGGGGAATTTCAGGACTAGATCAGCCACAATCGCCTTCTGCGTGCAGAACGGATGCTCTAGCAGTGAGCCACGTGGGTGTTAGCTTTCAGCTGGGGTTTCTTGCCTATCACTTTGTTTGGGCTTTCAAGGATTTGAGGCTCTCCTCTTCTTGTCCCAGTGCACCTCTGGCGATTCACCGGTGGCTACCCGGCCCTCGTGGACTGCATGAACAAGCTGAAACAGAACCAGGTACCAAGCGCAGGTCTCTCTTCTTCTCCAGATGTACTGCTTGTTGGGAAAACATCAGGGAACTGCGTCTTTCTCTCCAAAGCGCCCCTTGGGATGATTCATCACTCTTCTGTCCCGAGTCGCTACTGCGACATATATCCGAAGATATATGCACACACAAACATAACAGAGTTCAAAGCAGAAGCTGGACTTGAGGTGTAGAATTGTAAGCTAAACGGCCTCGGTCCTGTATACCTGAAGGAGCGTCTCCACCCCCATCGTTCAGCCTGGACACTGAGGTCCAGCGCCGAGGGCTTTCTGGCAGTTCCCTCATTGCGAGAAGTGAGGTTACAGGGAACCAGACAGAGGGCCTTCTCGGTGGTGGCGCCCGCCCTGTGGAACACCCTCCCTTCAGGGAAGTTTTTAATATTTAACGCTGTACTGTTTTTAACACTTGATTGGGAGCCGCCCAGAGTGGCTGGGGAAACTCAGCCAGATATAAATATAAATAATAAATTATTACTATTATGAATGGTTGAATGAATTATTATTATTATTATTATTATTATTATTATTATTATTATTATTATTTACAAGATCAAGTGTTACAGAACAAAGGAATCATGGCTCCTCTTTCCTTCTCGTCCGAGAGAGAACAGAAAATGCAATAGCACAACAAAACGGAACAGTGTAAACTGAACTTCCGCTCTCATGACTCCCAACACTGTGGAATGTCAACACAGACATGTGAGGAAAACAATCACACATCAGCAGCGATGGAGGAATGAAATCCCAACGCTCCTGGCAAGCAGACGGTGCCACTGCCAGTCCACATCTGGCTAGCTTGTCTCTGCAGCAAAGAGCCAGCAGCAATCTTAATGGCACAGTTGGGTAACCAAGGCAATGTCTTCCAGATGTTGGGGGTCCCCAGCTCCCATCGGCCCAGCCAGCACGGCCCTCGATCAAGAATGATGGGACACCTGGAACCTGCCTACATAGGAAGGCTGCCTTGCACTGAGTCAGACCTTTGGTCCATCGAGCTTAGTGTTATATACTCTGACTGGCAGCAGCTCTCCAGGGTTTCAGAGAGGGAGTTTCTCTCAGCCTAACATGGAGACGTTCTGGGACCTTCTGCATACATAGCAGATGCTCTACCACTGAGTTGCGGCCCTACCTCTGGGTAGAGTATTAGGCTTGTGCCTCAGACCCCTGGTTCAAGTCCCTGGCTAACTATAATAATTATTATTTATACCCCTCCCATCTGGCTGGGTTTCCCCAGCCACTCTGGGCAGCTCCCAACAGAATTAAAAGCACAATAAAACATCAATCATTAAAAACGTCCTGATACAGGGCTGCCTTCTGACGTCTTCTAAAAGTCAGATTTATTTCCTTGACATCTGATGGGAGGGCATTCCACAGGGCAGGTGCCACTACCAAGAAGGCCCTCTGCCTTGTTCCCTGTAACCTCACTTCTTGCACGGAGGGAACTGCCAGAAGGCCCTCGGAGCTGGACCTCAGTGTCTGGGCTGAATGCTGGGGGTGGAGACGCTCCTTCAGTTATACTGGGCTGAGGCCGTTTAGGGCTTTAAAGGTCAGCACCAACACTTTGAATTGTGCTCGGAAATGTACTGGGAGCCAATGTAGGTCTTTCAGGACCGGTGTTACACAGGCTCGGCAGCCACACCCATCCAGCTGCCGCATTCTGGATTAGTTGCAGTTTCCAGGTCACCTTCAAATTGTGGCTGGGATAACCCAAACAGTAACCATCCAACATATAAGTACTGTCTGTTGGGATACTGCCAGGGAGACAAAGTCCATCATGGCCCCATGTCGCCTCCGGACGTCCATCGATCTCCCGTAGACACGCAGTATCAGCAATTAGCGACACGAGCTCCAGAAATAGCTTGCCACATTCCAGAGCTGATGCACGCTCTTATCAGCAGATAATGCACAGCGAAAGATGCACGCAGGAAAGCATTATTTATTAGTTTATTTTGTGTTAGTCAGAACAGAGAAAAACATGACCGCCTGCTTCAGTGTTCAGGCACCGAGAGAGAGACAACAGCTCTATCAAAAACATAAACATCCTGTGAACAGGAAATACGCAGACTCTGTGACTCACAAAGCCTGCTCCCTTTTTAAGGTGGAACGGAAATATCCTAACACTGTCAACATACGACTTTCAGGTCAATGAGGACTAGAAACTCGCTTGAAAGAACCAAATCCCATGCTTACACAGCACAACACTAGCCCACTCTCTTCAATCATGTCCCCCCCCCCCATGGAAAGTACTGACAGCCCACAGCTAAGTGCCCAAGTGACCCTTCTGATCTTTCCCCTTTCCAGGAGTACCTGGAATTCCGGAAGGAGAGGAGCAAAATGCTGTTGTCCCGAAGAAACCAGCTGCTCTTGGAGTTCAGCTTTTGGAATGAGCCTTTGCCGCGACCTGGGCCCAATATCTATGAACTGAGGACGTACAAGCTGAAAGTGAGTTCTGGGGGGTGAATCTTGGGGAGGGGATAGATGTTATGGGTCAGGATACTAATATCTCCTGGAACATTTCTGCCAATATGAAACTTACACGGGCCCTCGGGCCATCTGACACCCTTCTGGAAAAGCATATGGTCAGCGAGGCAATTGAGGGTTTGTTGGACCTTGCATTCTCAGCAGAATTTGAGTTCTTATCAGGCATATCGGGATAGTTGAGGTCTCCTTTGACTACTGTATCCCTCAATTTTGAATGTTTGGTAATAATCTGCTCTAGGAAGGCATCATCCAAGTCTTCAGTCTGGCTTGGAGGTCTGTAGCAGACCCCCCCCCCAATTGGAAGGTCACTGTTGTTTCGCTCTTCTACAGTTTTTACCCATATAACTGCCTTCCGTGGTCCAGGTTATGGATCTTTTCACAAGTGTACATATTCTTTACATACAATGCATCTCCTCTCCACTTCCTGTTTGGTCTACAGTGGTACCTCGGGTTAAGTACTTAATTCGTTCTGGAGGTCCGTTCTTAACCTGAAACTGTTCTTAACCTGAAGCACCACTTTAGCTAATGGGGCCTCCCACTGCTGCCAAGGCGGCACCGCACGATTCCTGTTCTCATCCTGAAACAAAGTTCTTAACCTGAGGTACTATTTCTGGGTTAGCGGAGTCTGTAACCTGAAGCATATGTGACCTGAAGCATATGTAACCCGAGGTACCACTGTATTCCTTTTGAATAGGTTATACCCCTCAATTTCTACATTCCAGTCATGAGTCTCATCCCACCAGGTTTCAGTAATGCCTATTAGGTCAGTGTTTCCCAACCGGTGTTCCGCGGCACACTACTGTGCCGTGAGACATTGGCTGGTGTGCCGTGGGAAGGAGGCGGGCAAGTCGGGCGGTGAGAGGCGGCGGCGGCGAGGATCCGCGTCGAGCCGGGGGCGGCTCCGCGGTGGTGGTGCCGAGCGGCGGGGCAGCGCGTGCAAAAGGGAGGAGCGCGAGACAGCGGAGGAGGAGGAGGCCGGCATGTCCGGGCAGCAGCAGCAACAACAGCAGCAGCAACTCCCGGCGACGGCTCCTCAAGCCCCGCCGCCGCCCCCTCCTCCGCCCGCTATCGCCGCCACCACCACCACAGCCGCCGCCGCCTCAGTTGCCGCCGTCCCTCGCTCTGCTGCCTCCTCCCACCCCAAAGCTTGGAGGTTCCCCGGCAAGGGGAGGGAAAAACTTTCACTTTCGTGCATCCCTCCCGGCGTGACGCTGCGCGCTGACGTCACGGGGCGGGGCTTTAATGGTGGTGTGCCGCGAGATTTTTTTCAGTAAACAGGTTGTGCCGTTGCCCAAAAAAGTTTGGGAAACACTGTATTAGGTCATATTTTCCATTGTGTATTAAAAGCTCAAATTCGACTTGCTTGTTTCCAATACGCTGTGCATTAGTGTAGAGACAACTGAAACAATGAGTCATTCCCTCCAACTACTTCCTCCTTGTAGTTTTCCGCCCTTTAGTATGTTTCTGGAGCACCACTTCAGTTTCCTGTGCATTGATGAAGCTATATATAGATATGCCCCAAAAACTGAGCTTGGGAAGCTCACCACAACTCTTCGAGAGAGCTTTCCCTGAAGTTTTGCAATCATGACTACAAGCTGTGTACATCACCTCTCCCTTTTGCTTTCAGCCTGGGACCATGATTGAGTGGGGAAATAACTGGTAAGCAGATTTTTCAAATACCTTGAATGTGCCTTTATCCAAAAGATCATTTAAGGGAGGTGGAGCTGCTGGTACAGTGCCTTACAGGACCTTACAAGGAGGAGTAGCTGCCACTGCCCCTTTCAGCAAAAAAAAAAAAAAAGGTTTCTAAGGCTGAAAGCTTAACCTTGCTTCCTTGGGAGTAAAGGTAAAGGTACCCCTGCCCATACGGGCCAGTCTTGCCAGACTCTAGGGTTGTGCGCCCATCTCACTCTATAGGCCGGGAGCCAGCGCTGTCCGCAGACACTTCCGGGTCACGTGGCCAGCGTGACAAGCTGCATCTGGCGAGCCAGTGCAGCACACGGAACGCCGTTTACCTTCCCGCTGGTAAGCGGTCCCTATTTATCTACTTGCACCCGAAGGTGCTTTTGAACTGCTAGGTTGGCAGGCGCTGGGACCAAACGATGGGAGCGCACCCCGCCGCGGGGATTCGAACCGCCAACCTTTCAATCGGCAAGTCCTAGGCGCTGAGGCTTTAACCCACAGCGCCACCCGCGTCCCTACTCCTTGGGAGTAGGCCCCACTGAATTTAGTGGCACTTGCCTCTGAGTAGACGTGGTCAGGATTGCAGATATAAGCAGCAAAAAACCAAACCTGTCCTCAGGAAGCCAGCTTTGAGCTTCCACAAATAGTGGTGGATGTGTCAATTTCAGCTCCTCGTTTTTCCCAAACTTAAGTTCATTTTGCCACGTAAGTGGGTTGTTGTTGTTTTTTACTGCTTAGAGATTTTTGGAAATGCTGGTTTCTACGTACTTACAAATATATATATATTTCAAGTCCTTCTTCTACTAATACATAGACTTTGCTCGTTAGGTAAAAGTGAAAGAGACAGTTTTGCCATTTCCCCTTAAGGCATTGCTTTTGTACGTTGCTTTCTGTGCTGCATGCATTTTTATGCACACTGCGAAGGAAGCAGTGCATCCATTGCATAGCTGGGGAGCCTGTGCCCCCCCCCCCCAATGTAGCTGATCTATAGCGCCCATCATCCCTCACTTGGGGCCATGTTGGCTGCTGGCTGGGAGTTGGAGGCCCATAACTTCTGGAGGGCTACACCCCTGAAGTCATGGGGCAAGTGCAGGTTTGCCGTTATCTCTTTGGGCAGGGCAGAAATGGCCAATGACAGCGATTCATTTATAACTTGCTTGCGTCTTGTTCTTTCCCTTGACTGGTGAACAGGGCACGGGCCATTAAATATCGGCAAGAGAACCAGGAAGCTGTGGGCGGCTTCTTCTCACAGATCGGGGAGCTGTACATCGTGCACCACTTGTGGGGTAGGTGGCTGCCCAAATGGGGCTGATGAAAAGTGTTGTAGTCCAAAAGATCCAGAGGGTCTTGGGCAGCAGTTCTCAACCTGTGGGTCCCCAGATGTTGTTGGACTACAATTCCCATTATCCCTAGCTAGCAAGGCCAGAGCTCAGGGATGATGGGAGTTGTAGTCCAACAACATCTGGGGACCCACAGGTTGAGAACCGCTGGTCTCGGGGGAAGACAGCCCTGCACCCCTCTCAAAAAAGTCTGTGGCCATGAGCTCCATTGGGTTACCCCGAATTGCCTGCCCTTCTGTACATTTCATAGAAACAGAGAATTGTATAGAAGGGGACCGCCAAGGGTCATCAATTCCAGCCCCACTGCCATGCAGGAATCTTAGCTAAAGCATCCACGACAGATGGCCATCCAACCTCTGCTTGAAAACCTCCAAGGAAGGAGAGTCCAGAACCTCCCGAGGGAGACCGTTCCCCTGTCAAACAGCTCTTAACTGTCAAAAAGTTCTTCCTGATCTTTAGCCAGAATATCATTTCTTGTAATTTTAAGCCATTAGTTTGCGTCCTGCCCTCCAGAGCTTGTTCCTTCTTCCATGTGACACCCCCTGCCTTGAGATTTTTGAAGATGGCTATCATATCTCCTCTCTTTTGTAAAAAATAGTTTTTATTAAGAATTTCAACATAACAAATTATCAAAAACATGTCATCTTCATTTCCACACACCCCCATTTTTTCCTTCCCCCCTCCCTAAGAAAAACTGTCCCTCCCACACACACACACACCCCTCAGCTCCTCTCTCTGGTTTTTCAACACATATTCTTCTCTGCATATTACAAAATTGTAAAGATCCTTAAATTATCTATCTTTTGTGTTAACAATAATAAATTGGTGTGTGTTTATTCAAAACCTGCCAAGGAGTCCAATTCATTTTGTTGTTTTTTTAAGTAATTTGTAAAAAGTTCCCATTCTTCTTTAAAACCACAGTTGTCCTTGTCTCGCAGTTTGTATGTCAATTTCGCCAGTTCCCTATCATATCTCCTCTCAGCCTGCTCTTTTCCATTCTAGACATACCCAGTTTCCCTCAACTGTTCCTCATAGGGCTTGATTCCCAGACCCTGGATCATGTCTTGGTTGCCCTTCTCTGCCCCCTTTCCCGCTTGTCAATATCCTTCTTAAATTGTGGTGCCTAGAACTGTGTGGTGTGGTCTGACCAAGGCAGAACAGAGTGGTACTATGACTTCTCTTGGTCTGGACACTATACTGTTGATGGAGCCTAGAACAGCATTAGCTTATTTTGCTGCTGCATCACACTGTTGACTCATGTTAAGTTTGTGGTCTACCAAGACTGCATTAGCTTTTTCTGCTGCTTAACATGAGTCAGCCACTTTATTCAGCAGCCGAAAAGCTTCCCACGTCGATGAGCTTTCCTGTGATGTAGTGGTTTGCTGTCCTTCTAGCCTACAGGGACCTGCAGTCTCGAGAGGAGACGAGGAACGCTGCCTGGAGAAAGCGAGGGTGGGATGAGAACGTTTACTATACAGGTGAGGCATCTTTTTCAACGGTGGTGGCTGGTACCCAGGGCTGATGGCTTGCAAGGCAGGAGACCAACAGTAGGGGGAGCCAGCCCAGAACCAGTGACAGGCTCTAGGAATGAGACAGAGATGAGAGCACCTATTTTTCACTCCCTGTCTCGGCTGATCTATCCTGCATCCACAGAGTCCCTGGCGCTTAGAGAAGCTGTTTTTCGGAACATCCTCTGCAGGAAAAAGCTTTGCCTCTCCCTAATCCTTAGAGTCCCATTTCCAAAATTCTTCTTTTGAGCTTGAAGATGAAATTCAGGAGTTGCTTATCCAGGAGTTGCTTACCCTCACACCAGGGGTGCAGGACTAGATCTGGCCAGTGGGCTGAATCCTTATCTCCTCCACCCTCCTCCAAGTTTGACAGACGGCGTGGCCATCCCACCTGTCATTCACCTGGCACCAGGTGACTTGCTTTTGCTCTCGTGGGCAGTCAGCTGGTTGCAGGGAGAAGAGGGAGCAAACTGGAAGGAGGAGGTGTCAGAAACTGAAGAGGTAACCAGGTTTAGTGAGGAGGGAGAGTCTGTGACAGAGAGCAGTCCAGAATCGGAGGCAGGAGAGGAGGAGGGCCAAGAGGCAGAGAGAAGCCAGGAAATCTCCCCCTCCTGTTGCGACCAGCTTCCCTCTTCCCTGGTCTCCCAGAACCAAAAGAGGCATGAAGAGAGCATAGCAAAGACAGACAAGGCACAGAATTCTCAGGTTGTTTGGGAAGGACCTGGGGGAAGAGGAGACTTTAGGGAGCTGTGGGGACCTTCAGTCTTCGCAACTGCCTCATCAGGGCAAGACCTACTGGGAAGCCTTGCTGTCCTCACTAGACCTGAGCCGTTTGTCTCTTCGAAGAGTTAACTTCACTGACGCATTGTGAGTTCCTGCTGGCCTACTCCCAATGGCCACCCTGGCCTTACCCATGGGAGAACTCAGTCCTTGGAGAAGTCCTTCTATGAATTGTCAGTGCTCAGTATTGATGTCCTTGGACCAGAGCGCTTGTGTAGGGCTCCCTGTTGAGGGTGAGGGTTGAGCGGGCAGTGGCAGACAGGTTCCTCTGCTCTGTGTCCTTGCCGAGTGACCACCGGGTTTTCCTTTTGCAGTGCCTCTGGTCCGGAGCATGGAATCGCGAATCATGATCCCTTTGAAGATCTCCCCCTTGCAGTGATGCTGTCGCCAGGCTGTCGTCTTTCTGCACCAAACACGCAGAAAGAAATTGAGCTGGCCGCGTTTTCCTCCGTCCGGATCCTCTCTGAACTCTTTTCTGACCTTCTCTCCTGTCCCCCATCTTCTCTTGCCGCTTTGTCTGGAGATACCCATCTCCTTGCCTTCCTCCCCCCCTTTTCCTTCCAGCATTTTGGTTTCCAGAAAGTTTGTCAGAATCCTGCTGAGCTCATCTTATTGACTCTGAATGAGAAGCTTGGAGGCTTGATGTGTTGCCATCAATGGACTACCAAGTCTGGCTTGTTCCGGAGGCTGATGAAGCTGCTTAGGGGGTGCTGGCTGTTGCTTGCTGTGGCAAACACAATTACATTAAGAGTTGTTAAGAGGCCCCTGCTCCCCTCCTAGAACTACAGTTCCCAGAGTTCCCTGGGGAAAGGGATTGATTATTAAACTGATCTGGGAATTGTAGTGCTGGGAGGAGATTAGGGGGTCTTCCTAAGGGGCTGAGACTTCTCAACAAACCACAGCTCCCAGAAATCATTGTGGGGGGAGGCATGAAGCTTTAAAGTAATAGCATAGCCCTTTAAGGTGTGAATGCCACCTAAGCAGGTATTGTTGGATTACAAAGGAAATGACTCTTTTCTCCCCACCTCCCACCCCGCAGCCGTTCTTATCCTTGAAATAGCCTTTTTAATTGCTGGAAAGGCAGCCTCCAAACTTTTCTAAAAGGAAATAGTCGTACCTTGGAAGTTGGAACGGAATCCGTTCCGGAAGTCCGTTCGACTTCCAAAGCGTTCGACTTCCGAATCACGGCTTCCGATTGGCTGCAGGAAGCTCCTGCAGCCAATGGGAAGCCGCGGAAGCCCTGTCAGACATTCGGCTTCCAAAAGAACATTTGAAAACTGGAGCAGTCACTTCTGGGTTTCGGTCATTCGGGAGCCAAAACGTCCCAGTTCCAGGGCGTTCGACAACCAAGGTATGACTGTACAGTCGTACCTCGGAAGACAAATGCCTTGCGAGTTGAACATTTTGGCTCCCGAATCTTGCAAACCTGGAAGTGAGCGTTCCGGTCTGCGAATGTTCTTTTGGAACTGGAATATCTGACGTGGGTTCTGCGGCTTCTGATTGGCCGCAGGAGCTTCCTGCAGCCAATCAGAGGCCACGCCTTGGTTTCCAAACATTTTGGAAGTCAAATGGACTTCCGGAATGGTTTCCGTTCAACTTCCGAGGTACGACTATAATGCACAACAGGGTAGCATTCTCAGGAATGTAATGAATGTATACTGAGGGTGTGGGGAACCTTTATAACCAGCTGGAACTACAACTCCCATGGTCACGCTGGCCATGCTTGCTGGAAGTTGTAGTTCTGCAGCCTCTGGAATGCCAAAAGTGTCCTCCTCCTAGCCTGCTTAGCTTGGTCTCTCTATATGTGCATAGACCGAAAAATCCCTGGTGGTTTAAATGTGGTTGCCCAGCTGTGAGTTAAGAGAGGAGGTGGAGAGAGACAGGGTCCTCTCATTTGCACAATGCATCTTTTCTCTTGATCAGTTACCCATCTCTGGGTACCATAGTGAGGCTGTGCTTCTTCGTAATAAACTATTTTAAGTGCTCTTCTGCCTAGGGACCATGTTGAACAGCCTAACTGCACATGTAATAAAATATTTAATATACTACTGTGTGTGTGGCAGTGTTTATTGATTGTCCATTGTGGGGTTGGAGTAAAATTTCCTCTCCTTCAGACCCGTAAAATACCAAACTTGTAGATCAGTGTCATGGAACTGTGGAGTTCAAAGGGACCACGAGGGTCATCTAGTCCAGCCCCCTGCAATGCAGGAATATCTTGCCCAGCAGTGGGTTCGAATCCATCACCCTGAGATTAAGAGTCCTCATGCTCTACTGACTGAGCTATCCCTTCAACAGCATTCCTATATATTTTTATTAATCATTTTATATTGAATTTTACTGATTTTTTTCTGAGACAATGACATAATATGTAGTATCAAACACAGCTTACAGCACATAACAAAACCCGAGTGTGAACTTTGTCCCAGTACTACTTTGTTGATGCAAGGGGGACCAGGGAGAGAACTGGAGCAACCCGAGGTCACAAAAACAGGTGATCTGTTGAAACAGCAGTCTGGAAGACCAAAGGAAGTGATTTATTCTTTTTTAGGCTGAAGACCAAAAATGTTTAGGTGTAGTACCTGTTCGTGAAGAGCGATACTTCTATCTTATACACGCGTTGGACTAACCAGAGCTCTGAAGATCTTTGCCACGTATTGTCAACTCAACCAATTAACCATCAACCATGTTAAATCCAAGATTCTGATTTTCTCCAGAAGCCGGAGATTATACGGTTGGAAGCTTGGTGGAGCAAAAATAGAGCAAGTCCTAAAATTTCAATACCTTGGAGTTATTTTTCAATACAATTTGGGGTGGAAAGCTCAAATTCAACACCTACTTAACAAGGCCAAAACTCTGTCATATGCGCTCCTCCGATTTTTCTTTTCGGATGGAGCTTTGCATGTTCCCTCGGCCCTAAAGGTGTTCAAGGCAAAAGTGGTTGCCGTGCTTGCTTATGCTGCCCCGCTCTGGGCCGTGATGACAGATCTTGCTCCCCTTGAGACTCTGCAAAACCAATTCCTACGTCGGCTCCTAATGCTCCCCCTGTGCGTAAGCAACGCAGCCATGCGACTAGAACTGAAGATCGCATCCTTAGAAACTTGCCTGTGGAAGCAAGTCTTCAACTATTGGTTATCATTGTGGCATAGATTACCAAACCATTACCTTGTCCAATGCTTATGGCGAGATGAATTCTCTAGCCTTTGGACTAGTAGAATTCATGCCAAACTCCTGAGCTATGGTTCATAATGGACAATGAAGATCCGGGGCCAGGACTGCTCCCTGTTCTTGCAAAAGAAATTCAACAAACAGAAACCAAGTAACTGAGAACCTTGTTTTGGATTTAATCCCTCTTAACGCTGTCTGTTAGGGACGCGGGTGGCACAGTGGGTTAAACCACAGAGCCTAGGACTTGCTGATCAGAAGGTCGGCGGTTCGAATCCCCGTGATGGGGTGAGTTCCCGTTCCTCAGTCCCTGCTCCTGTCAACCTAGAAGTTCGAAAGCACCTCAAAGTGCAAGTAGATAAATAGGTACCGCTCCGGCGGGAAGGTGAACGGCGTTTCCGTGCGCTGCTCTGGTTCGCCAGAAGTGGCTTAGTCATGCTGGCCACATGACCCGGAAGCTGTACACCGGCTCCCTCGGCCAGTAAAGCGAGATGAGCGCCGCAACCCCAGAGTCGGCCATGACTGGACCTAATGGTCAGGGGTCCCTTTACCTTTACCTTTAACGCTGTCTGTTATGTTCGGTGACTTTTTCTACCACCGCCAGCTGCCCTACCTTATTCCTTATTTATCATTTTTCTATTGTATTTCTACTCCACCTTTTCCTCCAAGGAGCTCATGTGATTCTCCCCTTCCCCCTTTAATCCCCACAACGACCCTGGAAGGAAGGTTTAGCTTGGGAGACAATGGCTGGCTCAAAGCCATGGCCAAGTGTGGAGATTTGAACCCTGGTCTCCTAGGTCCAAGTCTGACCCTTTTAACCGCTGTGCCGCGTGGGCTGTATACATTTCAGGGGGCCGAGAGGAAAGTGATTGATTGACATGTGTGTTTGTGGCAGAGGTCTGTGCTAGGAGCAGTTGGTGTGGCCCCCAGAAGGTCACACAGGAGGAAACATGGCCCTCAAGCTGGGGAAAGGTTCCCTGCCATGGGCATAATTGGGACTTGTCCTTTGAGGCCTAGAAAGGCAGGAGTGTGGGGATCCAGCCACCTGCTCATTATGTAATTTGCCCCTCAGCTGCCTCCTTTGTTTGCAAAGCTGTTGGCAATTCAGTGGAAAGTAGCAGAGCCAGGGCAAAGCCTGCAGCAAGGTTAGTGAACATAAGATCAGGTCAAGTCAATGGCCCATCTAGTCTAGCATCCTATTCTCAGCGGCCAATCAGATGCCCCAGTGGGGAGCCCAAAAACAGGCCCAGAGCACAGCAGCACTCTGCCTGCCTGTGATTCCTAACCCCTGTGTTGCAAAGAACGTCAGCAATGTCTAGGCAACACGATGACCATGTACGTACGCAACAGACAAACTTTATAGAATTCCTTCAAATCACAACAAGTACAAATAGTCTCAAAGTCTCTGAAAATCTTTAAATGAAGTGAGGTACCAGACTTTGTAAGATGAAAGACAAGCTGTGAAGCTTTGTGTATTCGGCAAATATGATGTCCAACACTGAACAGTGATTGCGGATATTGACTACTATTTCTTAGAATTCTTCGTCAGCGTGGTGGGAGGATATAGAATTGCTTCATAAACCCATCTTATTTCAAATGAATGTATGGAAATGGAAATATCAAATGCTGTGGAACAGTGCTCATGTAATCATGCAGTCACTGCTGACTACATTACAAAGTCTGGTAACAAGTACAAAATGAAATCTTTAGTCTCAAAGTCTCTGAAAATCTTTAAATGAAGCGAGGTACCAGACTTTGTAACTATGACTATGACTATTAATATCGCAACTTAGTCTGTCTCATAACGGCGGATCCTGATTAAAAACTGCGTCACAAGAGAGCCTTTTATTTTCTTTCCAGATATTTCGAAAAACAAAGGCTTTAGTTGATATTTTTATTTCCACAGAGTTTATTTTCCAATCTCACTTGCTATGGGTCGTATTGGCGGTTCTTCTGGGGGGCGGGGGGGGGTTGTTAGGTAATATCGTAATAAGAAAAGAACAAGCCCCCCCCTTTCCGTTCCGTTTCAACATACCGGCATAGATGTTATTCTTTGATGTTATCTTCATTCCAGTCTAATCCATCATTCTTAACTTCTCAGTGGCAGGCTTAATTAGCAGCTAACGTACCCTTTTCTTCGCTCGAAGCATGTGCAATTAATCTTATATCCATTTTTTCATCTTAAGAAATGCAACTAGGGTCGCACTCGGAGACAGCGTCCGGGAGATCCGAGCTCGCTCGAGGGCTTTCCGTCCAGTGCCCTCACCCCCTCCTTCTTTCGAACTCGGGGGTGATTTATGGGCAACCGCGGACGAGGCTGCATCTTCCCTTACACTGGGAAGAAAAACGGGAGGCTGATTTACTCCCATATCAGCCCCTTAATTACCTCGTGTGAGCTGGAGAGATGGTATTGTCGGCCATCTTCCAAGGCGCCCCTAGCGGAGCCCCTGCTTCATTTAAAGATTTTCAGAGACTTTGAGACTAAAGATTTCATTTTGTACTTATGGTTTGAAGGAATTCTATAAAGATTGTCTGTTGCGTAGGTACATGGTCATCGTGTTGCCTAGACATTGCTGCCTGTGATTCCTAGCAAGGAATGTTCAAAAACATTGCTGCTTTCAAGCATGGAGGAAGAACATTGCCATCGTGGATAGTTGATCACTACCTCATCCGTGAATGTTTCTCATCCATGAATTTTTCTCTTCCACTTTTTGGGTAATTTTTCTTTCAGTTTTTAAGAATTAGACCTATATACTTAAGTACATGATACATTTGTCTTTTTTTTTCAGCTTCCCACTCCATTTTCCATTTTATTTCTCCCCCTCTGCTACACAAAACCTTCTGCATCTTATTCCTTCCCATTGATGCTGTGTTTTCCTAATTCCTTCTGTTGCTCATACTCCTAATCTTGCTCGTCAGTTCATCATATTTTCTTAAATAGTCTGAAAAGGTCTTCCGTTCTTTCACAAAGCCATCATTGTTAGGTTCTCTTATTTGGGCTGTTCACTTTGCCAATTCTGCATAGTCCCATTGTCTTACTTATCCGTTCTTTGGTGGCAACTTCTTCCTTCCATTTTTGTGCACAGAGAATCCCAGTGGCGGTCACTCCCTCTTGCAGGAGTTTTGTCTGTCTTGAACCTTTCCACCTTTCAGCTTCAATGGATGGCCCCGAGTTCCAGAGTTATGAGAGATGGAGAAAAGCTTTCCTCTATTCACTTTCTCCACCCTGTGCATCATGTCATACACTTGATACTAGACTAGGAATGAGGAACATGTGGCTTCCCAGATGTTGTTGGGTTGGGTTTAGCTCAGTGGAAGACCAGGGGGGCTGGGTGCAAAAGTGCCAGGATAAGCTTAGGGCTTAAGGGACGCGGGTGGCGCTGTGGGTTAAACCACAGAGCCTAGGACTTGTCGATCAGAAGGTTGGCGGTTCGAATCCCCGTGATGGGGTGAGCTCCCGTTGCTCGGTCCCTGCTCCTGCCAACCTAGCAGTTCAAAAGCACGTCAAAGTGCAAGTAGATAAATAGGAACTGCTCTGGTGGGAAGGTAAACAGCGTTTTTGTGTGCTGCTCTGGTTCGCCAGAAGCGGCTTAGTCATGCTGGCCACATGACCCGGAAGCTGTACGCTGGCTCCCTCGGCCAATAAAGCGAGATTAGCGCCACAACCCCAGAGTCGGTCACGACTGGACCTAATGGTCAGGGGTCCCTTTACCTTAAGCTTAGGGCTTATAATCTTCAAATGGAGAAGTACTTAGCCCTTAGCCCACATGACCTTAGAAGCTGGATTTTTGATCAGGATGCCAACGTAAGACAGAGCATCCATCATTGCCGCCCATTACTCTACTTGGTACCCCCAAATCAAGACCCATCACTCAAGGCCCCATTACCTTGAGACTCTGACCTTCCCACAACTACGCAGGACCTTTGCACAACTAAGATTCTAGCAGATGCCCTCGTCATATTTAGAGGGGAGATTTCAGGGAATTCCCCGTATGGATCGCAAATGTATATCTGGATGCAATCAGGTAGAGGACATTGCACACTATCTGCTGATTTGCCCCTTGTATACAATGGCCAGAGCAAAATTTATGTCACCAATTCTTAACTGGCTTCCGGGTTGGTCCTCACAGGAAATGACAGTTGAACTCCTAGCAGATAAACATCTATATATTACACACCAAGGAACCAAATTTGCACTGGCAGCCAAGAAGCAGCGTTCCAGCTATGTGAATGCACTCCAGTCTTAAGTCTCAATGTTGTAAATTTCTTTTCATGTTGTAAACTGCTACAGGTTACATGTATGATCTTAGAGGAAAGTTCTCCTTTTATTCTCTCTTGTCCGTTGTAAAGGCTTTTGGCTATATACAATAAAACTGACCACCTGCTTTGTGTGCAGAAGGCCTAAGATTCAGTCCTTGGCATCACCAGGAAGGATAAGGAATATCATTTGTTGGACTCTGAGCAGCGGCTGCCAGTCAGTGTAGGTAATAAAGCTCTAGTTGGACCAATGGTTCAGTGGTAGAACATCTGCTTTGCACACAGAAGTTCCCAGGTCCAATCCCCAGCAACTCTCAGGTTGAAAAGATCTCAAGTTTAGCAGTCCTTGGAAAACCAACTCCCAGGAGATGTAACCAACGGTATGAACAATTTTCTCTGCAGTTGTGGGTGGCCCCATATAGCAGGCATGGGGAACCTCCAGCCCATGGGGTAACTTAAGCCCAAAAGGAGTCCCATTTTGGTCTGCAGAGCTGTTACCCACCAGCACCCGACACACAGTGCCCCAAAAGTTTAAAACAAGAACATTATTCTGTGGGAAAGCTGATAGCTAAGCGGAGTCCCGGAAAATAAGATGGCTGGCTTTCAGGTGGCCTTGGTTTAATCACAGATCACCTGGGCAACACTTATATAAAGGTAAACACGCACAAACCTCCAGGTATCTTATCTTGAATTTTGCTGGGGACCAAGGTGAAAGCGAAGGTATAAAGAGGCCGAACGCCCTACAGGAAAACCCTTCTTGCGAGGACTTAACAGCCGACAGGATGAACCTTGCTCGGTTCCTAATCTTGGCATCAAGTAAGTTGTGGCTCTTAAGGGATGAATGGGTGTTCCTACTGAAACGGGAAGTGGATATGCTGTGTTGGGGTGGGGGATAAATTCCTTTATTAACTGGGTTCCCTCTGAAGGATGCTTCTTGGTTAACAATTCATGGTACCTTTGGCACACCACCTCTGTTGCCTGGTGTGCTCCCTTGACCAGCACTGTCGTGTGGCTTGCCAGCACTCGGGGCAGGCAAATCGCCAACACTGCAAGAGCGACCCCCTACCAGAGCCAAGCAGGGCTGCATTGCATCACCTGTCCAGCTGTGTAGAGGGGAACACAGCCGGCTGATGGAGCCCCTGGCAGGCGAAACCCCCTGACACAAAGAGGAGCACTGGGGCAGGTTGTGCTGGGGTTGCCCCTTCCCCACCTCCCCCATCCATGGGCCTGATCTGTTCCCACCGTCCAGGGAATGTGGCACACCAAGTGAGGAGCGAGCGAGTGCTGGCTGGGTGGTCATTCAGTGAGGGGCCTTGACCGAAGGGCAGCCTGGCCTCAGGAATGCACCCTCAGGGTGGGGTTTTACTTCCCAGCTTGCATTTAGCAGGCAGGATTATGCTTCAGCTCTCAGAAGCCTGGGAAATGCCAACCTAACCCTAACCGAACGCCTCTTGTGGGAAGTTTATGTCTCCTTTCTAGTAGCCGCGGACACGGCCTCCATCCCTAGGAACTTGTTGCAGTTCCATAACATGATCAAATGCACCATTCCCAGCAGTGACCCACTGAAGGATTATGCAGACTATGGTTGCTACTGTGGCTTGGGGGGCAGCGGGACACCGGTCGATGAGCTGGACAAGTAAGCCAATTTCTCATCTTTGCCCTCTGCCCCCCCTGTCCCCAACGTGTTCCAAGGCTTTGCACCTCCTAATTTTATTAGGGCACCTGCAGGTGGTCAGTATTTTGCAGGAGCGGTTTAAGAACATACCAGAACTTCAGTTTTCTACGCTTAAAGTAGACTCTACTGCAACAAATCTACCTTTAAAAATTTGCTCTATTTGGGGCTTAAAGGTAAAGGTAAAGGTACCCCTGCCCGTACGGGCCAGTCTTGACAGACTCTGGGGTTGTGCGCCCATCTCACTTAAGAGGCCGGGGGCCAGCGCTGTCCGGAGACACTTCCGGGTCACGTGGCCAGCGTGACGAAGCTGCTCTGGCGAGCCAGCACCAGCGCAGCACACGGAAACGCCGTTTACCTTCCCGCTATAAAGCGGTACCTATTTATCTACTTGCACTTAGGGGTGCTTTCGAACTGCTAGGTGGGCAGGAGCTGGGACCGAAAGACGGGAGCTCACCCCGCTGTGGGGATTCGAACCGCCGACCATGCGATTGGCAAGCCCTAGGCACTGAGGTTTTACCCACAGCGCCACCCGCGTCCCCCATTTGGGGCTTACGTTGCACTTAAGTTGGGAGCTGCAACTACAGCAGAATGCTGAAGCATGGTTGCTGGCAGAAGAGAGGGCTTGTCAGCATATAAAACTCTGCTCAGTGTTATGTACTGGTTGCTCATTTTCTACCAGGCCAAGTTCATGGTGTTACTCTTGTGGGAAATGCAGCCTCATATAACTAGCATGTTTAGTTCGGGTTAATGCATTAAGGGGTTAAGACCACAGAATAAGCTGTTGTTGCTAGACTTGACCAGGTCACACCCTCTCACCTCCTGTGGGCAGTTAGGAAAGTTTGTTTTCTTTGCCTTCTTTCTGTTGTTTGTTCACATCTACTATGTGAAGCCTATCAGAGAGGATGTCTGAGCTTGACTGCTCCCAGCTCAGAAAGTGTGTTCAGAAACATTTGCCATATTTTGTAAACTTAGCCTTTTTACCTGCGTTTTTCTGGCTGCTGCATGGAAAAGCACATGAATTTGACCTTTGAAGTTTGTAAGTAAACTATTCTTTTAAACTTATCAAATAGTGTGGTCTCTGTTGTTCTAAAGGGATAGAAAAGGCAAGCGCTGTATACAAGTGACTTAAAAATGGGATGTTTAAAAGGTCTTAACAGTGTATATTCCCGCTCTTCACTTTGCTGTGTGTTTTTGTGTTTTAAAACCTCTGCTGTGGCTCTCTCTTATTGGAGGGTATTCTGCCCCACATTTGGATCTAGCGATCTATCTACATACAGCAACAACTATTAGTATATAAAGCCTTTAACCTCTTGGAACCAGTTTACCTGCGAGATCACCTTACCCTGATACTGGTATGTGCCCACTTGACTGCTTCGATCTGTGGAAGTGCCACTGTTAGAGATGCCACATAATACCTGTTCTGCAGTTGTATTAACTTAATCTTTTAGTGTGGCATAGAATGTTGACATGTGTTTCAATATGGCCTTTTACCTTATCCTTGATTTGAATTGGTTTTGAGTATTTGTTTTTAACTATACTTACTGATTGTTGCATTGTTTTCTTCTGGTTAAAGTGGATTGGTGTGCTTTAAATGGGTGCTGTGACATTGTCTAGAGAGAAATTAACGAAATCCACTAAACAAGGCAGCTCCTAAGTGTCTCCCAAGCTCGTTAAATCAACTCGAATGTTTCTAATTTTCGAACAGGTGCTGCCAGATCCACGACCAATGCTATGGTGAGGCCAAGAAGCATTCCGAATGCAAATTCCTCATAGACAACCCTTACACCAAGACCTACGCCTACAGCTGTTCAGGCAGTGATGTCACCTGCAGCGGTAAATGCAGCCTCCACCCTGCTTTGGCTATGTCAGAGGGCCTAGTTCAGCTTTCTCTCCACAAGCCTCCAAATTAAATCCCCAGTGTCTTAAATCAGGGATGGACACAGTTCCTGGCCATCTCGATAATGCTGGACTCCCAGCATCTCCCCCTCCCAGCCAGTGTGGCCAATGGTCAGCAGGTGTTGGGTTGACATCTGTATGTTTACAGGGCTTTCTTTTTCAGCCAGAACTTCTGGCGTCTCCCAGGTGGGCGCCTTAGCCATTATAAGAGAACAAGGGAGTCGTTCATAGTAAGTTCCAGTACCTCTTTTTCTAGAAAAATAGCACTGGTTGCAGGTACTCCATCCCAGAGTTAAACAGGTGGTTTTCAGAGAAGATTGGACAAATTCATGGAGAAGGCTATCAATGGCTACTAGCCAAAGTGACTATGCTCTGCCTCCATGGTCAGAGGCAGCAATGCTTCTGAATGCTAGTTGCTGGAAGCCACAGGAGGGAAAGGGCTCTTGTGCTTGGATCCTGCCACAAGCATCTGAATGGCCATTGTGAGAACTGGATGCTGGACTATTTGGGCCTTTGGTCTGGTCAAGCAGGGCTCTTGTTAATAATAATAATAATAATAATAATAATAATAATAATAATAATAATTTATTTCTTATATCCTGCCCATCTGACTGGATTTCCCCAGCCGTTCTGGGCAGTTGCCGGCAAAATATAGCATCAAACATTAAAAACTTCCTGGAACAGGGCTTCTTCCAGATGTCTACAACTCTTGTTGCTCAACTCTTGACATCTGCCAGGAGGGCATTTCACAGGCTGGGTGCGACTACTAAGAAGGCCTCTGCCTGGTTCCCTGTAACCTCAATTCTCACAGTGAGGGAACCGCCAGAAGGCCCTCGGCACTGGACCTCAGTGTCCGGGTTGGATGATGGGGGTGGAGATGCTCCTTCAGGTATACTGGGCCATTTAGGGCTTTATAGGCCAGCACCAACCCTTTGAATTGTGCTCAGAAACGTACTGGGAGCCAGTGTAGGTCTTTCAAGACCAGTGTTATGTGGTCTCGGCGGCCACTCCCAGTCTAGCTGCCACATTCTGGATTAATTGTAGTTTCCGAGTCACCTTCAAAGGTAGCCCCGCGTTTATGTTCTTATCTTCAGTAGTGGAGCTTGTGCGAGATCTCACTCAAGGAGAGCAAAGCAGATGCTCTATAACAGAGCTATAAACCTTCCCCTAAAAATAAATTAGGATTCTAGAATTTAGGGTTCTTAAAAAGAAAGAATCTGAATTAAATAGGAAGCTGCCTAATACTGCGTGAGACCTTTGGTCCATGTAGTCCAGTGTTGTCTGCACTGACTGGCAGTGGCTCTCCGGGATTTTAGGCAGGGCGTCTCTTGCACCCCTACCTGGAGATGCCAGGAATTGAACCTGGGACCTTCTGCATGCAAGGCAGGTTCCCTTCCACTTGGCTAAGGCCCTTCTCCCAAGAAGTCACCCAGTTCATGCTTGGCCTTTTCCTGCTTCAGATGACAACGATGAATGTGCGGCGTTCGTCTGCGAGTGCGACCGTAGTGCGGCCATCTGCTTTGCAGGGGCTCCATACCAAGAGCAATATAAACAGCTGGACACGAGCAAACACTGCAAGTGATGTTTGTGCTACAAACCATCCAAGGCCCTCACTGCCACTTCTCACGCATGCTGATCCTTTGACGGACAACTGGAGAGATTGAGACAAGGTCAATAAAGCCGTTGTGCGTTTTCTACATCAAAGGGATTGCTTCCTGAGTCACGAATAAAATAAAAGCAGGCATCTAAAACTGTGTTTTATTATCCCCCGTCCCCTGCTGTATTTGCAAATATTCAGCTTGACACAGATGTCATGGTTTCCACACACTCTGCCTGGCATCCTTGGAAAGTGGCCACTTTATATCCTGGCAAATTGTGGACAATCAGGAGTTCATCTGATGGGGAAGAAATTTGATTCATTTCCCCAACATGCATAACGGTGAAACAATATGGGAGCCGAACACAGATGTCCTCTGGAAATTTGCCCTTCTCCAAATTTCGCAGTGCAGTTCACCAGCCCAGTAATTCGCAGAAATAAAATAAAAATTCAAGCATAAAAATTATAACCACATGCAATAAGGCATTATAGTCATACCTTGGTTTTCAAAGTGACCGTTCCGGTTTACGAACTATTTTTGGAAGCCGAACGTCCAATGGGGCTTCCACAGCTTCCAATTGGCTGCAGGAGATTCCTGTAGCCAATCGGAAGCTGCGCCTTGGTTTCCGAATGTTTTGGAAGTCGAACAGACTTCCAGAATGGATTCCGTTCGACTTCCAAGGTACAGTTGTATATTGTGGGAAATTGCTTTGCCAAAAATGTATATTGGGCAAAAATAGCATTAAAAATTAGAATATTAGGAGAAATTCCCTGTAAAATGCTGGTGAATTTTCATGAGGACTTTAAAAGCAATGCTAAGTTGACAAAGCATTCGCCTTGCATGTAGAAGGCCCTAGTTTCAATCTCCAGGCAGGACTAGGAGAGACACCTATCTAAAACCCTGGAGAGTTGCTGCCAGTCATGTAGACACTGCTGACCTAGATGGACCCAATGGTCTGGTTCAGTAGAAGGCAGTTGCCTTATAATATGTGTAAACCCCAGTAAGTTGGTTGTTGTGAGAACAGGATGCCGGACTAGATGGGTCAAAGTGCAACAGTGCTCTCCCGGCTTGTTATTCCAGCAACTGGTACTCAAAAGCACACTGCCTTTATGGTGGAGGTAGAACATAACCATCAAGGCTAGCAGCCATTGATAGCTGGTGCTGGGAATGATGATTGGCTGCTTTTGATCTGTGATGCCACAATTGCACAGCTGGAGGCAACAATTGGGACACGTAAGGGATTGGCTCATCTGCCTCTGATGTCACAATTCCTCCTGAGGCTGGGAGCTATAGGGCATCAGAGCAGAATGTGTTGCCTTGCAAAGCTGCTCTCTACCAGCCACCTCAGAGTCAAAACTGCACCTCCTTTCCTGGCTAGCTGGCCCCAAGCATCAGCTACTTGGCTACTGCAGGTCTATAAAAGCCTTTGGGAATAAGTAACACCTGCCAAATAGAGGTACCACTTTAGTTAGTCGTTTGCCTTAGCGGAGTCACTGCATCCGCTGTAAGGTTTTGTCTGTAATCCTGCACACACTTTGTGGGGAGTAACTCCCATTGAACACCGAGGGAGTTACGACTGAGTCTTTGCCTCTTAAGAATATAAGAAGAGCCTGCTGGATTGGGCTAATGACCCACCTAATGTCCAACCAGTTGTTAGGAGGAGCCTCAGCCAATGAGAGGCATGGGCAACTAATTCTGGTTTTTCCCCTCACCTCCCTCCCTGCTGGGTTCTCAAAGGAGCAACACCAGGGGTCAGCAAACTTTTCCAGCCGTGGGCCAGTCCACTGTCCCTCAGACCATTTGGTGGGCTGGACAATATTTTTCGGGGGGGGGGGATAAACGAATTCCTGTGCCCCACAAATAACCCAGAGATGCATTTTAAATAAAAGGACACATTCTACTCATGTAAAAACACACTTATTCCCAGACCGTCCGCAGGTAGGATTTAGAAGGCAATTGGGCCGCATCCGGCCCCCGGGCCTTAGGTTGCCTACCCCTGAGCAACACTAACGCCACCTTCACACCATGCATTTAAAACGCTGTGATGACATTTTAAACAGTCATGGCTTCCCCCCAAAGAATTCTGGGAGCTGTAGTTTGCTAATGGTACTAAGAGTTGTTAGAAGTCCCCTATTCCCTTCACAGAGCTACAGTTCTGTGGTTTAGCAACCAATCCCTCTTCACAGGAAACTCTGTGAATTGTAGCTCTGGTAGGGGAATAGGGGGGTCTCCTAATAACTCTCAGCACTCTTAGCAAACTACAGCTCCCACAATTTTGGGGGGAGGGGGAGCAGTTTTGCTAATTTAAAATGGCATCGTAATGTTTTAAATGCATGGTCTAAATGTGACCAGAGTTCTCCGCTATTACTAAGCAAACTTTTGCTAGCAAGAAACTTATCAACGTTTCTTACACAAGTTCTGTTGCATATTTTCAGCAGTATATAGCAGACAGTAATACTAGCCTCAGTCCAATAGTTATAAAGCATTTTGCAATGACACCCATTTTCCTGAACTCGGCTGACCGAAATTTCCTACTTACCCTGCAACTCCACTGCATGTTATATAGAAAGAGCTTATTTCTTGCTATCCTTTCCAGCATGGCAGATTTGTAGTCGTATATTCCGCTCAATAACTAGGGACTTAGATAACATCGTAATATAATTTCCAGAGCATTTTCCCCGTATTTTTTGCTGGCGCTAACATTTTTAAACTAACTCTTCCACTTTCCCTTCCAGTCTTTCTTATCAATCTGTGCATTCGCCGTTTCACATTCGTTCTGATTGAGGTTGCAATCAAAAACCAGAAATGGGGAAAACTGGATCCCATGACAAATACGTGATTGCATTTAATGTGCCTAGACAGCTGTGAAAGGCCCTGTTCCAGTTTGCAACTGCTGCACACGCGGAGGGCCTTTTAATTCTTCCACGTAGGCCATAGTCATGATGAACTTCAAAGCATAAGAATCCAAGAAGAGACTGATTACTGGGTCAGCCCAATGGCCCATTTTGCCCAGCATGCCCCAATGTGAAATCCACAAGCAGAACCTACGCACGACAGCACTCTCCCCTCCAGTGGTTTCCAGGAACTGGCATTCAGAATCATACTGCCTCAGTGGACAGACCCAGACCCCCCTCCTCCCAGAAAAACCCCCAAGAAGCTCCACTCCACCTGCCCCTCCACTGCTGTTATTTTTCTTTCTGATACGGTTGTCGTGGAATTCTACTCAATATTGATCCAGAGCAGATTCCAATGTCTAGTTAGCAGAGTAACAACTTAAACACATTGCAGGATTCCCCAAAAATAGATCAGAGGGGATTGTATTTCATCCCGCAGAGCTTTACTGCTACTGAAGGCAATTGAGCATAATGGTCACAAATCCAATGCGTTCAGGACTGGCACTGTCCATAAGAAATCCAGTTGCGGCAGACTTAAACTTACAAGAACTTATAATAAGTCTAAACCTTAACACTAAGCATACAGAACACCACCCCAGAAGGAAAAGAGAGAAAGTTAAGACCCAGGGTCCTTCTGGCCTATTATTATAGTCAAACAATCCACTGGGTCTTCTGCTTTTTTCATTGAACTTTATGAGACTTCCATTGAAATCTACAATTTGACACAATGAATATTATACCTTATTTATTCAAAAGTACAGCCGGCTACGTCTGGTGTGCTTATTGAATCTATTATTATTATAGTCAGCATGATCTTCACAGAAAGCGATAACAATCAGTTTAATCCAGCTGTACTCAGCTTCTCTGAAGGAATAACCCAGGCTTCCTCAACCTCGGCCCTCCAGATGTTTTTGGCCTACAACTCCCATGATCCTTAGCTAGCAGGACCAGTGGTCAGGGATGATGGGAACTGTAGTCTCAAAACATCTGGAGGGCCGAGGTTGAGGAAGCCTGGAATAACCCAAACATCACGAACCTTCTGCTTGCTGCTTTCACACAGAGAAGCTTCCAGAACCCTCTTGAATTAATTAGAATAGGAAAGATCTCTACACATCAGACCCATACTTTCTGTACTAAGAAATGCAAACTGACAATGGTAGCCTGTGGGACACAGCTCACCGCTTAGAAATATACTTTGCCCCTTCTGTGACCCCTGCACACCCCACAAAATTCATTTCTGGTGCTGCCATTGACTGTCTCCAACCACAGAGGCAGAACATAGCCATGGGTTGCCTTCCCCTCCATTAATTTTTGTCTAATCCCCCTTTAAAGCAATCCAAGTTGGTGACCGTCTCCACATCTCCAAGAATGCACACAAATAGGTATATATGTAAACAGCCTTGAGACTGGGAAATGATATATAACGAATTGAAAAAGATGTTTAAAATAATGTTTGTAAAAAAAAAAAAACACAACCCAGAAGCTTTCTTTTTTGGGGATTATAGGAACAGAACTACCCAAATTGTATAGAAATTTATTCATGTATGCGACTACAGTGGCAAGAATGTTACTTGCCCCAAAATGGAAAGAAGAAGAAGTCCCAGGGAAAGAAGAATGGATACAAAAACTTATGGAATATGCAGAAATGATGAAACTTACCTGAAAAATAATAAATCAAGTAACAATTTTTTAATAAAAGAATGGAAATGGTTTATTGAATGTTTGCAAATAAAATGTAAACAGATCAGAAAGTTGGCAGGATTATTGTAATAACCTGCAGTTACATAAGAGTATATATTGAAAGTACATGAGTAAATGAGTAAATTAAGTTAATTTGGAATATGCAGAAAATATAAAAAAACAAAATGAAGGAACCGCAGAAAGAGGGGGAAGGAACTCAAGTTTTGAAATGTTAAAATGATTGTAAAATTATTGAAATGTATAAAACTGAAAATCATAAAAAAGAGACTGTGGAAGGCGATTACTAAAATAATAAATTACTAAATTACTAAAATAATTAAAATCAAGAACTTCTTTACCTTCTTCTCCAGGGATATGATGGAGACCTTGGGTGAATTTGACAACGAATCCCCGCTCTACGTCTCTTTCTGCAAGCGGATTTCCCCAGAGGACTTTGAGAAGCAATCTCTGACGTACACCCAGAAATCCTTGCAGGACCTTTATGCCAAAATGGAGCAGAACCCAGGAATCTGCGAGTCGATTGTGCGTAAGAGGAAGCAGCTGGAGAGTGAGGAGGCGGGTATGGCGTCCTACTTGAAGGTAAATCTGGGGGCACCTCGAGATGTC